AATTAATGGGTAGCAGGTTTAAAAGGAAGTTCTTCTTCACTCAGCGCACAGTCAACCTGTGGAACTCCTTGCCTGAGGAGGTTGTGAAGGCTAGGACTAGAACAGGGTTTAAAAGAGAACTGGATAAATTCATGGAGGTTAAGTCCATTAATGGTTATTAGCCAAGATGGGTGAGGAATGGTGTCCCTAGCCTCAGTTTGTCAGAGGGTGGAGATGGATGGCAGGAGAGAGATCACTTGATCATTACCCGTTAGGTTCACTCCCTCTGGGGCACCTGGCATTGGCCAATGTCAGTAGACAGGATACTGGGCTGGATCGACCATTGGTCTGACCCAGTATGGCCATTCTTATGTGACACTTTTCTATTTTTATGTCTAATTTTGTCAGCAAGTAGTTTTTAAACGAGGTGTAACTTGGGGGTACATAAGACAAATCAGACTCCAGGAAGGGATACAGTAGTCTGGAAAGGTTGAGAGACACTGAAATAGATGGTGATTTTCTGGTTTGGCCACCAAACCAAAAATCACACGCAAAAATTCAGTTAGTTTTGAACCAAACTTGACTTTTTTTTGTTTCTCTCACTGAAACAAAAACACATTTTGTTCGGATCAAATGAAACTATTAAAATGTTTATTCGAATTGACATTTTCGGAACAAAAATGTTGAAACACTTTTTTTTTTTTAAATGAAAAGTTGAAACTAAATGTTTTAACATTTCCCGCAGAAAAAATTTCAGGTGTTTTTTCAGCCAAAGCTATTCACTTAATTCAACTCAAATTTGTTAAGCGTTCCCTGGAAAAATGCATTTTTCAGTGAATAGTAAATTCACTCCCAAAAAATAAGTCCAGCTTAACTGCTGGGACCTCGGGAACTAATCAGGGTGAAGACACAATCTCTGTGGAATCACTTGAAAGCAGGCCTTGTGGATTCCTTGACAACTTGGCCATCACCCATACAAAACATGATGGTAATGACTAAGAGGTAAGAGTTGGACCAGGAGAGGCAGGAGCAATGCAGCACATTGACAAGGGGGAAAGTGGTCTGGGCCGCTGCCAAGAATGCAGTGCTTTGCTGGTTACGTGCACAGCTACGGGAATGCCATTGTTACGTCAGCCTCTGTTGAAACTTGTATAGTGGATAATGGTTCACCTCCCACAAGAAACCTCGACTGTGAGAAACACTTGGTTAAAAAAACAAAACGGAGGGCTGCAGGTGGCTCGGGGAACAAGCAAGGGGCTACAGAGCCTTTAACTTCAGAGTCACAAGTTGAAATCTAGCGCTGGTCTGCATAGTCTGAGCAACGTTGCTATCTAAATGCTGTAGGTGTGTGCGCGTGTACACTACAATCTGATTGGTGATTGCAACTCAGGGAGGCAAACCTGGGCTAGGTTTACCCACACTAGAATGGCTAAAAAAATAGCAGTATGGATGCTGTGCAAGCCTGCTGGAACCCTGGGGGGGGCGTACTTACATTGCTAGCCTGTGTTACCACTTCCATGCTGCTGTTTTTAGCTGCCTTTCTACCTATCCTGCAATCACACCTTGGACTGCCGCACAAACGTACTGTGTGGTAGTCAGTATGCTGGAGGGGGCAGCCCACTTTCTGGTCCTCATTACGGAAGCCACCCTCACAGTCTCAGCCCAGAGGTGAACTGTCAAGTGCACTCTGTAGGCAGTACTCAAAGCTCACCACAAGCACCTGTCATGGCTAACCAGGGTTGAGGCATTGTGGGAAGACTAGAGACTCCCAGCTAAAGCCTCACCAACTTCTACCCCAAGTGCAAGGCACACTTCCTTGACCTGCCTTCTCCAGCCTCAAACACAGAGCTGCATGTACTTTAAAAAAAAAAAAAAAACCCAAACACACCTACCAAAACAAACACTGCACCAAACATACAGTTCTCTGCTGGGGAAAGGAGGAGAAAGAAAGAATGACCCACACACAACAAACAGGAGTCATGTCATGTCATGTAATGACTGACTGGAAGGTGCTCAGACACTACCGTGTTGAGGGCAGCATAGGAACCTGAACAGAATAGAACTAGCACCTTGCATTAAATTTCCTTTGCAAGAGATCATTGTAAAAGCAAGTGAAGAATCAGTTTGAAAGTGTCCCTCCACATCTGCATTATTTACCATCGCTCCACCATTTCAGTTTGTTTTTCCAGCCACGGACAAATGCTACCCCTTTTCTTAGGGGCAGTGGCCCATACAGACATACAACCCAGTAGTCAAGGTAGGAATGAACAAGCCTCAAAAGGTTTCAAGAGTCAGTCCAGATAAAGCACTCACACATTTGGATAAGTTACAGAGTAGCAGCCGTGTTAGTCTGTATCCGCAAAAAGAAAAGGAGTACTTGTGGCACCTTAGAGACTAACAAATTTATTTGAGCATAAGCTTTCGTGAGCTACAGCTCACTTCATCGGCTGCATTCAGTGGAAAATACAGTGGGGAGATTTATATACACAGAGAACATGAAACAATGGGTGTTACCATACACACTGTAACAAGAGTGATCAGGTAAGGTGAGCTATTACCAGCAGGAGACGGGGGCGGCGGGGGGGGGACCTTTTGTAGTGATAATCAAGGTGGGCCATTTCCAGCAGTTGACAAGAACATCTAAGGAACAGTGGGCGGGGGGGAGGGGGGGAATAAACATGGGGAAATAAATAGTTTTACTTTGTGTAATGACCCATTCACTCCCAGTCTTTATTCAAGCCTAAGTTAATTGTATCCAGTTTGCAAATTAATTCCAATTCAGCAGTCTCTTCTTGGAATCTGGTTTTGAAGTTTTTTTGTTGAAGAATTGCCACTTTTAGATCTGTAATCGAGTGACCAAAGAGATTGAAGAGTTCCCCGACTGGTTTTTGAATGTTATAATTCTTGACGTCCGATTTGTGTCCATTTATTCTTATATGTAGAGACTGTCCAGTTTGGCCAATGTACATGGCAGAGGGGCGTTGCTGGCACATGATGGCATATATCACATTGATAGATGTGCAGGTGAACGAGCCTCTGATAGTGTGGCTGATGTGATTAGGCCCTATGATGGTGTCCCCTGAATAGATATGTGGGCACAGTTGGCAACAGGCTTTGTTGCAAGGATAGGTTCCTGGGTTAGTGGTTCTGTTGTGTGGTGTGTGGTTGCTGGTGAGTATTTGCTTCAGGTTGGGGGGCTGTCTGTAAGCAAAGACTGGCCTGTCTCCCAAGATCTGTGAGAGTGATGGGTTGTCCTTCAGAATAGGTTGTAGATCCTTGATGATGCGTTGGAGAGGTTTTAGTTGGGAGCTGAAGGTGATTTTCTTTGTTGGGCCTGTCCTGTAGTATGTAACTTCTGGGTACTCTTCTGGCTCTGTCAATCTGTTTCTTCACTTCAGCAGGTGGGTATTGTAGTTGTAAGAATGCTTGATAGAGACCTTATAGGTGTTTGTCTCTGTCTGAGGGGTTGGAGCAAATGTGGTTGTATCGCAGAGCTTGGCTGGAGACGATGGATCGTGTGGTGTGGTCAGGGTGAAAGCTGGAGGCATGTAGGTAGGCATAGTGGTCAGTAGGTTTCCAGTATAGGGTGGTGTTTATGTGACCATCCCTTATTAGCACCATAGTGTCCAGGAAGTGGATCTCTTGTGTGGACTGGTCCAGGCTGAAGGTGGAATGGAAATTGTTGAAATCATGGTGGAATTCCTCAAGGGCTTCTTTTCCATGGGTCCAGATGATGAAGATGTCATCAATGTAGCGCAAGTAAAGTAGGGGCATTAGGGGACGAGAGCTGAGGAAGCGTTGTTCTTAGTCAGCCATAAAAATGTTGGCATACTGTGGGGCCATGCAGGTACCCATAGCAGTGCCACTGATTTGAAGGTATACTTTGTCCCTAAATGTGAAATAGTTATGGGTGGGGACAAAGTCACAAAGTTCAGCCACCAGGTTTGCTGTGACATTATCGGGGGTACTGTTCCTGAAGGCTTGTAGTCCATCTTTGTGTGGAATGTTGGTGTAGAGGGCTTCTATATCCATAGTGGCCAGGATGGTGTTTTCAGGAGGATTATCGATGGATTGTAGTTTCCTCAGGAAGTCAGTGGTGTCTCAAAGATAGCTGGGAGTGCTGGTGGCGTAGGGCCTGAGGAGGGACTCTACATAGCCAGACAATCCTGCTGTCAGTTATCCAAATGACATTCTATCTTAATCCTCTCCAAGAAGGAAACCTCATGAGACCAGCCTCTCACATGTATTTCACTGCTTCTGGTCTCCAGGGGAACCCAGAAGCACAGAGCTGTGTGACAAGGAAAACTGGGGTGAAAAATGTTATTTGAACTATTCTGAACTTATTAGATGTTCTAATTAATTCTTATTAGAGCTGAACCCATAACAAAAGCCCAGACCCAAACATTCCCCAAACTCTGGAAATGCCCATATACAAATGTAGTGTCTCGAGTGCTTATTGTATTCAAAGCAGTACATCCACCTGCGGCTCGGATCCTATGCTCCCATGCCAGAGGTGGGAGTTTGATGCCGGACTCTGGTCCCATTTGCCCTGGCCCAGAAGGGGTCTGGGAATATGGTGCTTTCAGTCCATAGGAGGAGGAGGGGATCCATGGGCATTACTATGCAGAAGTCCTGTCATTCAGCAGAAGAGTGAGAATGGCCTAGGCAGTGTAAGCCAGCCCCCTCAGAACTCAAGCCCTTCGGGGAACTCGGTAGTTTTAGGAAGACAGCTAGTGTTGGGTTTACACCATTGCTGCAGCCAGTGAGGAATCCTTTGGGACCCTAGACACAGCAGGTTTGCTGGAGGCTCTTCAGCACTGCTGGGCAGAAGGTCTGCATGATTCAGCCCACAGACCAAGCGTCCCAAACCATTGCCCTTTCGGGAGCTGCAGACTCATCTCTGCAGCTGGCTGAGCGCTCACCAGGCTGGCAGGCCCCATGGGCAGCGTTCAAGCTTTGTTGATCAAACGTGGATTTCAGGGCAGCCTCCTGATTTCCTGTTGTTTCCTCTGTCTTCACAGGCACTGACCGGAGCTGCTGCTGGGTTCCATTTGCCTTCCCTCAGGGCTGAAAGCCCAGCAAGGGGACCGCACCAGCCACAGGTGGGGAGAACAGGTGCCCAGCCAGCCAACTGCAATGGAGCAGGTCAGCTCCTTCTTTGACTCACTCTGGAATCTCATTCACACCAAGCACCAGGAAGGCATTTTCAACACCATCTGCCTGGCAGTGCTGTTGGGGCTGCCCGTCCTTGTCCTCCTCGTCCTCCTCGTCATCTGCTGTCACTGCTGCTTCTGTAGACAGCAGACCAAAGGCAGCATCAACAGCAGCAGCAGCAATGGGCAGGTCCCAGCAGAGAGGAACAAAAAGAGGAAAAAGAAGGGTGAAGAGGACCTGTGGATCTCGGCTCAGCCCAAGCTCCTCCTGCTGGACAAGACACCATCGCTGCCTGTCTAGTCGGAGGGACGGAGCCAAGACCCTCCTCCCCAGGGAGCCCTTCTGGCCACGTGCTGCAAGGAGATGTTGTGATGGCTCCGTCTCTTTTGATAATGACTTTAAAACCAGGACTTTCAGGACAAGCCAGAAACTAGTGAGAGCACGGAGACATCACGAGAAGGCACGCAGTCCAGCATATCTTTACATGCACACCCAGAACTGGACTAGGCAGCTTGCTCCAGGACACACACATCCATGTGCACAAGGACGTGCATGCGCTCACATGTACAAGCATTCACGCAGCTATGAGCACATGGATATTCACCTTCATGTGCACAACATACCTGCACTCCCATGCAAATGAACCCAATGTCACGTGCACAAAGCCATGCGTGCCCAGGGATGTGCACCCCGACAGGCACATGAACATACATGTACACAAGAACATATACGCATGCACTTGAAAACTAACCCACCCTGGCACTCCTCTGCACACGCACGGGCTCTTGCTCCTGCACAGACATGAACACATGGTTACAGCACAATGAAAAGGGTTTTCCTTCACATCCTGGCAAGCTATTGCTTCACAACTCCTGAAGACACAGGTATCCAGCCCACTGCTGGAGCTTCCCATGGGGCTTCCTAACCCAGCCCTGCCTTACAGGCCAAAAGACGCTCCCCCAAGGCAGCAAAGCAGCCACCCCTATTGCTGGCAGCCACCCCCATAACAGAGGATGGCAAGAACAGATCAAAAGTGGCACAGTAAGAGACTGAAACCTTTGCACTGGCACTATAAAGCCCGTCTAAGACTGGCCTTGGTACAGACTGGTCCTTTGGCAGCTTGTTCTGCTGCAGAGAAGGTGGCTTCATTTCTATACAGCAGCGAGAGAGAAGACTCCAGCTAATTCTGCACAGAAGCTTGGCTCCAGCATTAGAGTTATTTATTTAATGACTACTAGAAAGGGTTCATTCATGGAACCCATGTATACTAGTCGGGCCCCGGAACATTGACTCCATGCAATAACTTAGGCCATGCACCCCCCCGGCACGCTAGACACACACGCAGGCAGAGCCACACTCCCACAGACACACAGGCATGCCCATGTAGCACACCCAGACAGTGGTACACACAAATGGGCACACACAGGGAGTAGCTCCTGCCATCCAGCTGTGCCGCTGGTCCAGGGAGCACTGCAAGGGCAGCTGGCTCTGGAATACAGCACGAAGACATAGAAGGGAGCCTGAAATCCAGATACACTTCGTACCTCCTGCCCCATCCCGCCCTAAGAGACATTGTCCCAGACAGAACCCCCCACAGTCAGCAGGCCACAGTCATCTGTGCCCCCTGCTCCACCTCTGACCCCAACCATGCCCTCTTTGACTGCAGTCTATTTCCCAGGGGTCCTGCCTGACTCCTCCCCGTGCATGCACTATTATCATCAAGGTTTATTTAAGTCACATTTACATGGTTTGCAAATAAACAGAGTGGGTGGATGCCATCATCTTTCCAACAAGCCAGTGCAAGAGACAAATATTTTTGCTCTAAAGGCTCTGCTGGGAACATTCTGCTTTAGTTTATTTTTAGCCTCCAGAGCAGACTACCCAGACAGTTCAGGGAAGCACACAAACCCATCCGGATCAGCCCTGGTGGAGCATGCCAAATGGTACAGCCTCCAGCATGGCAGACTCCTGTGTGGTGACCTCATCTGCAGCAGGGTGTCTCACCCACCCTCCACTAGAAGAGCTCTCTGACTCTAGGATACCCTTCTGCTAGGGTAAGCAGGCAGCAGGGCGAGCTGGCTGGGGCTTACAGAATCAGCCACTTCTGCTGTGCCATCAAAGTGCAGCCCAATTTGTCCGACTTTGTGACATCACTTCATGGGGTTTGGCCCTCACTCAACTGTGTTGTTCGGAGCCTCAACCCCAGACGACTCCTCACCCATGCCTTTAAGTAGATGCCTTTCAGCTCCTTCATTCACTTCATCTCCATTAAAAAAAAAAAAAAATACACAGGGACCCCCCAATTTCAAGGCTGAGAGGCAACAAATAAGAGTCAGATTTTAGCTTAAACAGCCTTAAGGGAAACCTGATCCTAGATACCAACTCTCCCTGAACATCTCTGGCCCAGCTTCTGCTCTGGGATATTTGATTATAAAATTACATCATTTTGGAAACAGAGAGAGAAATAATCTCTCTCTCCCTCTCTCACACACAAAACTAGAGCTAGAGGAAAACATAACTGGGGGTACAAGCACTTACTGGCTGGCAGAGAGGAAAATATAGCTAGTTGTGACATGGCTACCTTTGGGCTACAGCTGTTTTGCTCTGCCATAGTTAAAAGACCCAGAAAGGCATCCCGGAAAAATGCTTCCTGTGGGGGCCCTCAACCCTGTCAGGACCAGAGAGTCAAAAGAAAGGGCCGTGTCTGCATATAGGAACTCTACTACGGGCCCAAACCATTAAATCCAAACATGCCCAAACTTTGGGGAAGTTCAACTTTATAGCCCTGAGCCATCTCTTTAATGGACTGAACCCACCAGCCCAGAACTCCAGCTCCTGATGACTTGGCCCCATCTCTATCCACTACATACAGTCAAACGAGCAAAGCTCAGGAAGCTACCTTGTATGAGAGCCATCCTCTTGGCCAATACCAGGGATCGAACCAGCACTTCCAGAACTGAAAGTGAGAGCGTCTGTAGCTTGAGCTGCTGAATACCCCATCCTCTATGGGTCTGTGTGACACATGCTAACCAGTAGGTTCCATCTGCACAGCCAACAACAAAGCAGTGTCTGATGCACGTTCAGTACACCCTGGTAAGGCCCACCTGGGCTCAGGTTCCTACAGCTAGCTCTGCCACTGTGGAGAATAGCCTCTGCCTTGCAGACAGTTCTTCATGTGCATGCATCTGGATTTCAGCATCGGCCTCTTCTGCACAGTTCATGCTCAAGAAAAATTTTTAAAATAAAACTTTTTTTTTTTCAAACTCCTGAGAGAGGTTTTGTCTCCAGATCTCAGCCATTTCTTTCTTTGGGAAAATCTTTTTGCACCATCTCACTGGCCTTGGATGAGACCTTTGTTGACTTCAGTCGAGAGGAATGCTGAAGGACACCTCTTTTCAGCCAGTCGCAGATACATTATACTTAAAAGGGCAGTTTCCAATTAGTAACGTTTAGTGCGTCTCCTCGTTAATGAGTGCAGGCCAACCTCTCTTGGCATGAAAAAAAAAAAGTGGGAGGAAGAAGAGTTATGCTTCTGCTCTGTATGAGTTGGGATGCACACAATATTTTCCTTCGTGGGGTTCAGTCGATCTTAGTTCTAGGCTGGTTTAGGTCACAAATGAGGAAAGCTTAATGGCGCTCATCCAGTCCCTCGTAGCTGTTTGTATTGTACATATCACAAACACACAGATTGAAAAGCTAGGCCGAAGTGAAGATGCCAAAAGAGCTCAGCGTGTTGGCTGTATTTGAGGTGCTCAGCATTTTTCAAAATCTGACCTTATTTACATGCAACTTATTTCGGGGTCATTAGAGGAGGTTTTGGAACAAATATAAACAGTATACAAACAGTAATAGGTCACCAGGAACAGATAGGATTCACCCATGAGTTGTGAAGGAACTCAAATATGAAATTGCAGAACTGTGGTATGTAACCTATTGCTTAAGTCAGCCTCTGTACCAGATCTGTACTGGAGGATCATTAATGTGACATCAGGTTTTTTTAAAAGGCTCCAGAGGCGATTCTGGCAATTCCAGGCCAGTCAGCCTAACTTCAGTACCAGGCAAATTTGTAGAAACTACAATAAAGAACAAAATTATGAGACACACAGATGAACACAATTTGTTGGAGAAGAGGCAACACAGCTTTCGTAAAGGGAAATCATGCCTCACCAATCTATTAGAATTTTTTAAGGGGGTCAACAAGCCTGTGGATAAGAGCGATCCAGTGGATGTAGTGTGCTTGAACTTTCAGAAACCCTTTGACAAGGTCCCTCCCCAAAGACTCTTAAGCAAAGTAAGCAGTCATGGGATGAGAGGGAAGCTCCTCTCATGGGTCAGTAACAGGTTAAAAGACAGGAAACAAAGGGGACAAATAAATGGTCAGTTTTCACAGTGGAGAGAGATAAATAGCAGGGTCCCCCAAGGATCTGTACTGGGACAAGTACTGTTCAACATATTCATAAATGATCTGGGAAAGGGGCAAACAGTGAGGTGACAAAATTTGCAGATGATACAAAGCTACTCCAGATAGTTAAGTACAAAGCGACCGAGAAGAGTTACAAAGGGAACTCACTAAACTGGATGACTGAGCGACAAAATTGCAGATGAAATTCAAATGTTGATAAATACAATGTAGTGCACATTGGAAAACATAATCCCAACTATACATAGAAAATGATAGAGTCTAAGTTATCTATTACCACTCAGGAAAGAGATTTTGGAGTTATTGTGTATAGTTTTCAGAAAACATCTGCTCAATGTGCAGCAGCAGACAAAAAAAGCTAAGAATGTAAGGAACCGTCAGGAAAGGGATTGATGATAAAACAGAAAATATCATAATGCTACTACATAAATCCATGGTACACCCATACCTTGAATAATGCATATAGTTCTTGTGGCCTGATCTCAAAAAATGATATATTAGAATTGGCAAAGGTGCAGAGAAAGGCACAAGATGGAACAGCTTCCATATGAGGAAGGATTAAAAAGACTGAGGCTGTTCAGCGTAGAAAAGAGACAGCTAAGGGGGGGATGTGATCGATGTCTATAAAATCATGAATCATGGAGAAAGTGATTAGGGAAGTGTTATTTACCCCTTCACCTAACACAAGAACCAAGGGTCACCCAGTAAATTAATAGGCAGCAGGTTTAAAACAAACATAAGGAAGTACTTCTTCACACATGCACCGTCAACTTTAGAGCTCTTTTCCATGGGATGTTGTGAAGGCCAAAGAGTATAACTGGGTTCAAAAGAGAACTAGATAAATTCATGGCAGATAGGTCCTTCAATGGCTATCAGCCAAGATGATCAGGGATGCAACCCCATGGTCTGCCTTGTCCCTAAACCTCCAACTTGCAGAAGCTGGGACTGGACAACAATAATTGCACTATTCTGTTAATTCCCTCTGAAGTGTCTGGCTCAGGCCACAGTCGGAAGACCGCATACTGGACGAGATGGACCCAGTATGGCCATTCCCATGTTCTCATGCATTAATGGGTGCTGCGCTCCTGAAAATCTGTCCTGGTCAGGGATGCTGAGCATGTCTGAAAATAAGGCCCTGAGCTCTTTTGAAAAATCTAGTCCTTAACAAAGACCAAGGACTGATCAGGCCAGGCTTGGGGTGTATTGGGAGAGCTATGTGCCTGTCAGGACTGGAATGACAGAGGATGCTTCACATCAGGAGTGAGGGACATAGGCAGAGTTGGGTGGGAGCATGGAACTGAACGGCTGGCAGTGGCCATAAGTCAGGACCTAGATGTACAGGCAAAGCCAGCAAGAGGAGAGGACAGGAAGCTTTCATGGCACTTACTTATGCCAGCTCTGACTCTAAGCAAAACAACTAGTCCCTCCCTTTTATGAGCTGACTTCACTAACTCCCTGGCAACAGAGCAAAACATCTGCACTGTCTGGGCTAGGCAGTAGAGTGACATCAAAATTTCTGCATGGACAGGATTTAACACTGAAAGATCTTTTCATGGGGGTCAGATGTTTCATGGCCAGATTCCCCAAAATGAAGTGGACCTAGGGTTCCATCTTGTGGCCATTTGTGATTATTGCAGTGCCTTATTCCCATATCATATGGCTTTTCCAGGGGATTAAAACATATCCCATGTTGAGTGCCACTCCTGGTGAAAGATAGGAACCCAAAATAATCAGGCAAAAATAAACTTCCATCCAGAGCTACACATAAATATGTGGTTCTCATTTTTTGTGAAGGGCCCCATTTTGGAAAGAAGCCGAAACTGTCCGATGTCACATACAAATTCTCCTGTATTGACAGCCCTCTCTAAGGACTACTTTTGCCTCTGAGATTTGTTTAGAGAGCTGCTAGCAGCAGCTGAGCCTCCTGCTCTATGAGAATAGATACATGAATTTCTCTATCAGATTATCTAAATATAGTACAATGACATTGCGCACCTTTACAAGTCATTTTACCAACTCAGTATGTATATACTACCTTTGAATTTTTCTCTAGAGCCAGCAGTAGCTGAAATTATAGCCTCATTTGCCACACACAGTCCCTTACCCAGCCCCAATTGCACCTACTCGTATCTATACAGTTCCCTGAACTGGGTGAATTAGTGGAATAGCTCATCACAAACAGGCCAGCATGGGGTTATCACATCACCATAGTAAAGAATCACTTACCTGAGACCCTCTGACACACCCATATGCTCACCAAACATTCTCCTTCTTTCTTTGAGTATCTTTGATTCAGCAGCTGGGGAAACAGGCTGTAGTCTTCCAAACCTCTCCAGGTAACCGCAATAGCACCCTGCTAAGTCCCTAGCTGCTAGCCTCTGTTCACACAGCTGTAGCCTTAGAAACATCAGAGCAGTAATTGGGGAAGTGGTGAATAGAGGCCTAAGTCCCCAGCTGGTGGGAATCAGCATTAAAGCCAATGGAGCTATGCTGATTTACAGCAGCTGAAGAGCTGGTCAGAGTCTTTAGACCCTGGAAAGTGCCCATCTGTGGATTATCCCAGATCCACAATGAGCGTGTTATGTAGTTTATACAGTTTTGGCCCTCTGAGGACAGAGCAGGTTTGAAGATCTGCTCTAAACTTTTCTCATTGTGAGGAACTGCAGCAGTTCTGTGTGCTGATTTCTCCTCTCCTTGGCCTGCCTTAGCTGAGAGGAGCAGTGGGGTGAAGGCGGGAAAGCTGTGAGCCAGGGAGGAGGAAGAAGGAGCCTTGGCTGCCTGCTCAGAAGCTCTGAGAGCAGCCAGCAGGGGCAACAAAGCTGGCACCATGGCTCATGGCTGCCTGCAGCTCTGTTTAGAAGTGACATTTCTACTGGGGTGGCTCAGAGTGACAGCAGGGGTGAATGTCTCTCCAGGTGAACCTTATTAGGCAGGAGGGAGGGGACAGTGGGAATCCTGGAGACCCCTTTTGCAGGAATAACCGCTGGCAGGAGCTGCCTTTAACCAGCAGCCTCTCTAAGTGCCTCCCCCCAAAGTGTTGGAAGGAATTTCACTCAGAAAATACCACCCCCACACACAAACTTGGGGCAGGTAATCCTTTCTGAGGCTGCACCTGTGTTAGGCCCGCTGCTGGGCGGGGGGTGGAACTGGCAATGCTCCCTGAAGCTACAGCAGCCCTGCCTTGCATGACAGATATTGGCCCATATGCCTCACTCATGCTGACCTGTCCAGAAACTAAGGCCCTGAAGAGCTCTTAGGGTTACCCAGCTCAGCCTCCTCCCAACCCCACCCCCCAAAAGCTGCCTCTAGAAGCTCATTTGAAGGGATTATATCACCCTATGTGCTGTTCATTTCAAGCTCCAGCCTCGCACGCACTGAGAGCAGGGGCTGGGAAAGCTCACTTCATTTCTCTATACAGCTTTCCCCCCACCCCTTTTCTTCCCCCTGACTTTCACACTGAACCCCAGTTTTGGAGTTAGCTGAAGCTTGTGGCTTTGGTGGGTTCCCCCAGCATGGGGCATGGTAATTACCGCTCATCACTCCATACACACCTGAAAGGCAAACTATGTGTTTCCATGGCAACAAAACCTTATTTGTGTTGTAGGAGAGTGAGATTGAAATGTACAGAAAGTGGTTTTGAAAGCGCTTAGTAAAGGCCTGGGGGAAAGCTGTCAGTGGTAGTACAGAAAGCAGTGGATCTGGAAATGCCCAGAAGCTAAAAGCAACAGCTGAGAAATGAGACTAGTGGGGTTTCTTATTTCCAGGGATCATCTCTACAGGCCAGGACCATCCACCTGGCTCCCATGGAGTCCTGGGGCCCCTAGAGAGCCCACCAAAGGCTGGTTAGGAGGGGGGATCTTCAGCATTAGCACTGAGGAAAAGGAATTTCCACCACAGTTACAATGTGTCACCATGTGGAAAACAATGCACCTGCCTCTGGCTAGCACTGGACAAAGTAGCCTGAGTGGGACAAGGGCACTTCGAAGAGAAACACGCCTTCCCCCGGCAATTGCACTTCCCTTCCACAAAGGGTAGATCCACAGTAGCCAGCGCTTCTGGGTGAACTGGAGCGCCTCGTTTAGAAAGACATCCAATCATGATTTAAAGACTCCAAGAGAATTTACCACATGACTTGGGAAGCTGTTCCAATGACCCTCAAATAAACCCTAAGGGTATGTCTACACTGTGACAAAAGACCCGTGGCTGGCCTGGGTCAGCTGACTCAGGCTTGCGGGGCTATAAAATTGCAGTCTAGACGTTTTGGGGGCTCAAGAGCCGGGGCCTTTAGACTTGGGGTGGGGAGAGGTCTCAGAGCCTGGGCTCAAGCCAGAAGGTCTACACTGCAATTTTTAGCCCTGTGAGCTTGAATCAGCTGACGCAGGCCCTGAGAATCAGTGCCACGGGGGTTTTTGTCAAAGTGTAGACGTACCCTAATAGCCTTCAGACCTTAAGCCAGTGATTATCCAACACACGCTCCTCATCCCCTTCTGGGAGCAGACACCAGGGGCCCATGCCAACCGCAATGGTTTAAAAATCACGACTCAGACCCCCACCCCAAATTCTGTGTTTATTGTAATTATATTGTGGTTTTGGCATGGCTTTTGATATTTGAAACCGTCCCCCTGCCCATCCCCAGTGTGTGAGACAATTCATGTTGCCCACTCCCCCTGATTTATTGAGGTGAGTTGTCCCCTGCTGCAGGAGCTTTCACCCCCACATCTGCCCCTCCCCCTGCCCAGCAGCTAATTCTTCCCCCCAACCCCCAAATGAATCCCATCTCCACATTAGTTATGCCCCCCCCCACAATTCTGCCCCCCAGCCTCACCTCTGTTCCTCCTGTAGACCCTGGGCTTCTTCACACCCACCCCATTCCAAACTGGGCACGGGGCTGCTGCAGGGTCCCCTCACCCCCTTCCCAGGCTGGGTGTTGTGGGGAGAGGCAGAACTATCCCCCCTTGCTTGGCAGGGGATGGGGGAGGAAAAAAAAAGGGGCCCAAAAGTGGTGTGGATCAGGGCCCAAGCAGCATAAAGGTGCCTTAGTGTAAATGAGAATCATACCCCTTGTGGTCTCATTTACAGCAGAGCAAAGTAGGTGTGAAAGGCTCCTAGGAGGGCAAGATTTTTGTTTAGAAGTGTCTTTATTGGTAATGGCTAAGGGGCTCCATGTTGGTCTGTGAATGATTTATGATTCCTAGGCATTCTTTCTATTTAAGAACCATTTCCATTCAGCATTATGAACTAGAAAGAGACACTGATACACAGGATGCCCATGTTCCAACGGGCACAGCTGATTAACCCTTTGGGGAGGTGATTGAATGTGACTGGCTCACACCAGTCTTGGTGAGCTGGTACTTTCCCCTGTTGGCTACATTGTGTGCTCCAGGATCTCAGCTTTTCTTCACAAGCAAATGATGACTCACCCTTAAGACTATGAAGAAAATCTTCACCTTGTGAACTGGTTGTAAACCATGCAGTGCTGCCTATCTTAATCTGCTGGAAACAGCAGGTCAAAAAATAGTGTGAACTACCCTTGTTCATGTCAATGTGCTAATTCTGGGTCCTAATGATGACCATTTAAATGTCACCATTGTAATTATTTCTGCGCTGATGAAGAGGATACAAAGAAAGAGAGGGACAATAAGGCCAGGTCTACACTACAGACCTATATCGGTATAACTACGTCGCACAGAGGTGTGAAAAATCCACAGCCTTGAGCAGTACAGTTATACTGACTTAGCGCTGTCTACACAGGAGGTTTTGTCAGCAGGACAGTTTCTCTCATTGACATAGCTACCACCTCTCGGGAAGGTGGATTAACTACACCGATGGGAGAAGCTCTCTTGTCAGCCATAGGAATGTCTTCACTTAAGTGCTACAACGGCACAGCTGCACTAGTGCTGTATGTGAAGACAAGCCTCATACTGTGAAAATTCTTCACAGGCACCTGTGAGTGGCATCTTATTTTGGCATCATGAGCAGGCAGAGTTTAGGATAGTAAAACCACTTTTTTGTGCCCCTCCACCTCTTTATGAAGCCTGCCTAGGAGTCTGTGAACATGAATATACTGTACTCCCTCCTAGGCATTTGTTTTGGCTGGAAGACACCAGCTTTCTAAAAGTTACAATTAAATTATACAGAGGGATTTTAGTATGAAGAAACATGGAGCTGGAATTAGAGGACCCAAGACAACAGAGTTTAAACCAGGGTTGATTAACGTTACCAGCAGTTTAACAGAAAGCATTTCATGATGCTCAACGCCTGTAGTGGTGGGACTGTACCTTTAAGAGTAGAGAATGTTCTGCATCTAGCATTGAGAGGTGAAGGAAGAGGAGACAGGTACTGCATGGACCTAGGAGAGAGGGGGATGAGTGAAGAGATTTCTCTCCTGTGAAGTGTTATCTGTTGTATTCAAAATAATATTTAGTACTTAATTATCTTCAAAGCACTTTGCCAGCATTAACTAAGTAACACACAAAACACCCTTCTGAGGTAGGTTGGTGACTATTATTCTCCCCATCTTGCAGATCAGAACACTGAGGCAGAGGAATTAAATGAGTTGTCCAAGGTCACCAAGAGAATCCTATTCAGAGAACTCAGGTGCTCTCAGCTATTCCGATGTTGATGCCATCTGACAACAAATCCCCTATTGGTACATATTCCTCATTCCAGTCCCCATTTTCCTTTCCAAGCAACTAGAGGGAGAGCCATTCCTCTTGTCACAGCAGAGCCCATGTCAGCAGGGGGAGCATTACACAGAGCACCTGGAGTTGGCACTAAAATGGACAACCTGTAGCCAAAGAGAATTATGGAGCAGCTCAGGAGTGAGCTACAAATAAACCTGAACTGAGGTTTAATAACCAGGGGCTTTAAAATGACACTGTTGAGTTTCATTTAGATGGGAAATGTAGGTTTTTATAAAAAGAAGCTTATACAAAAACTTAAAACTAGGTGAAATTTTCCAGTGTTGTTTTTAAAATTCCAAAAGAAGCAGTGTTTGAAAACCAGATCTTTCCCCATAGTGTAGACACCCCAAAGACTGTGGCATTGTGCTAATGCATGAGGATCTGAAAGAGAAAGTGACTAGAGGCTGATTATTAATAAAAGTGAAGTGCAATGGCCTCTTTTCATCATCCAAGCTGGAAACCAGGAGAAGAAAAACACGGAGCAAAAATAGAAGCAAGTAAACTAGACTCTTAAAATTATCAACCCACGGGGTTATTTTCAACATAGATAAGGGTGCATTTTAACTGGATGCATTTTAACTTGACAAAATGATGCATTTTAACTTCACAATGCCCCCTTGAGGCCTGAGAAGTTACAGTAGTAGCTGGTAGCAATATCTAGTAGTGAAGGGCATTTGCAAATATGAGGGTCAGCAACTTGGGTTGTGGGAAGCCACAGCATGAGTTTAAAGCTTGCTTGTAAAGTTCATAATGATCAGGGAAAATAGATCATCTGTGTGCATTGGACCAGTCAGGTCCTTGTCGAGTTCAGCCAATCAGGATAGCTGTAAATGTTAATATTCCCCATCAGTCTCCTCCCACTCTGTGACCGGTGACTTTTATCAATAGCCTCCAAATGCTTAAAGCAGGCTGAACCCAGAGAGCTCTGAGCAGGGGCTGCAGCAGGCTGGACATTTGTTACATAAGTATTGGAACAAGCTGTTCAAGTCCTTACATTTAGTTACAAAATAATGGAATTTCATTGTCAGGAATTGACAGGCTCGGCCCTGCTTGGAGGCCATTTTAGGCCCTGGTCGTTTTCCTCTTCCCTGCCTGAGACCTTTTTTTCCTCCCCAGGATTGGTTCATTGCTGGATGATTGAGGACGGATCTTCATTTCAGTGTAAGGGATGGAGAACAAATGGCCTTTCCATGGTGCCCAGTTGACCCCCTGGAAAGAGAACAAGGAATTCCCTTTAGTAAGCATGTAAACCCTGTGTGAGGCACTGGGATACAATAATACATAACTCAGATATTGGGAGGGTTGTTATTTATTTGGATCTCTACCATAATAAGAAGAGAGAGTCTCAGCCAGCCCTCTGGACACCCCTAACACAAGTTAATAAACATACAGTTGGGCACGCACCAAGATTGAACCCCCTACACGCATAACACATTCAGAAACCTATGTAAATAGATGTATTTTGTGTCATGCCCTAACACCAACAGATCGGGACTATTTCAGACAGGTGTCTGAGGGAGAGCCCATTTCTGAGCTGAGGTTCCCCTTGTGGAGCGTATTATACTGCCAACCGTGTGCCCCCCCCCCCTTTTAAAATTAGGAAGTTCCAGTTCAAAAGTTCCTGCCCATTTGCAGCTGTAGAAGCAAGGCATAAAGAGAGAGGTGGTTTCTCAGGGTGTGTTTACACTGCAGCTGGGAGTTGTGATTCCCAGCCCCTAGGTAGACAAATTCACGATAGCTCTCCCTGAGCTAGCAAGCTAAAAATAGCAGTGGGGGCGTTGCAGCACTTGTAGAAGCTGAGGCTGGCGGCCAAAGTTCAAGCCCACCTGCCCCCAACTGGGTCCAATCTCAGGTGCCTAGTCCAAGCCACCGCCCATGTCGCAACACCCACACTGCCTCAGTGTAGACATACCCGCAAGTAGCAAGGTCCCATGCCATCTGTGGCTTTATAGGTTAAAAGCACCACTTTGAATTCCATCAGCAGCCAGCGCAGAACATGGGGCAGCAGTGACACATGTTGCCAACACCTAATGGGGTGGGCCCCTGCCCTGAGCATCACGTATACAGCGCTTTTCATTTGCAGAGCTACAGCGAATGACAAAGGAAGGCAGGTAGCAGGATCTCCACTTTACGGATGGGTCAGCAGAGGCACAGAGAGATGAAGCAACTTGTCTAAGATAATGCCCCAGCCTTTTACCTCTAGAGACAAGGGTTCAAATCCTGGCTTAGATCACAAGAGAGGTTCCACTACTCCTGCTGTCCTTGCTCTCTGTATAAACACAGGATTCCAGTTTCTCATGGCTGTCAATCCAGCACCTTTCAGCACTACTAAATTCACTGTTCAGTACTGTGATCAGCTAGCTAGTGGCAGCGTGTCTGCAGCTATGTTTCAAAGGATGGAACTGGAAGTACTCAGTGTGCATGTGTGTCTGTCTCATAAACCCTATACCGATTACTATAAATGGATGCTCGTTTAGTTCAAGCAGTAGGCTCTGTGCTGTCTGGGCTGAATGCTGCGAGTTCCATCTCTGCAGTCACTCTGAAGTTACAGGTGGCCATGGTGGGTACCCTAGTAATGACTGTGAGGTTCCTAGGCTGCCACGGATTGATTACAATACACCCTTTTTAAAGGGAAGAAGTATGCCTGATCTATAACTATTGGATGAGTCTGGACAGCCCTTCCTGACTCAGGAACCATCTGAGCTGTCCAGTGTCACCCATGTCCCTGAAGTTGGTGAGAAGAAGCACACATGTAGCAGAACCCTGGCACTCACCTCACTGTGCTTGTTTTCTCCATATTTGCCATTGAGGTTAGCTAAGTGGCAGTTCTTGTACCACCAGGCACCCTGATGTGACCTCGCACAGTTGCTCAGAGCCACATCATTGTCCCTATCCCAGGTGGTGAATTTCCAGCCATTGTGGTAAGTCAGCGCATCCCCTAAAAGAAGGGAGAAGGAGATGTTAGGCACAGCAATCTCGGGGTGCCACTATCAAACTGCTAGAGGGGTGGAGGCTAGGAGGGTGCAGTTCCAAAGACTTGGCAATTCCCAGAGGGTGGGGGTTCAAAGGGATGGAGGCGTAGGTGGTAAATGGGGCAGGTGAGAGGATTGGAAGCCAAAGGCAGAGGCGTCATCAGGGCAGGGAATACCTGGAGTACCGATGGCAAAGGCCATTATATCATCAGGATGGGAAGTAATGCTGGGTGAACTCCCAAGGAGTCTGAATTCCAGTTCAGTTCAGGATCAGGTTGCCATTCCTCCCCACACAACCCTCCTTCTTCTCACCACCCCCCAATGTTGTCTTCCTTGATTGGGAATGCCTAACAGCCCCTCCAATGCCTTCACAGGCTCATCTGCTGGAACCACTCCCTTCTCTGGATTCTTCAGCAGGTGGCCTGCTGGGCCCGCTCCCCCCAATCCAGTCTGAGGACAGTTCCATGGGCCTTCCCTCTTCTCTGCCTCTTTATCCAGTGGCCGGTGAGCCACACCTAGTCCCTCCCTTCTCAGGAGATGGCTTGGCGGGCCCGCTCCCGAGGTCCAGCCAGAAATACCAATGTATATTTCTCTCCTTAGAGAAGCACCAGGAAACAACCTGGTTTATGGGACTTCTAATGCATCCCAGTCTATTCCAACCCACATTCTTATGGGGAAACAAGTGTCCCAGATTCCAGTGCCTGCTTCCATTATGTGAGACTGAAGCAGCAAGGATACAAAGCATTCCTTACCAGCAGTGCCCTGGTAATTCCCCACCGAGAGCCTGTACTTATCCTTGCTCGAAGCCACCTGGAAGAAGTCATAGACAGCATAGGCAGAGTCATTGGAGGTCTGCAGATCCACCCGGATCTCATATTGAATGGGTGTACTGCTAGTGAGATTGTGCAGCTTGTCAAGACCTGGGAGAAGAAACCAAAGTGATTATTCTATAGAGGGAAAACAGGTGTCAAAATTCATTCACTTTCTCTGTTCCAAGGTTTCTTCTTGCCACATTTGTGGTTAAATCAGTGGTTTGCTCCTTCTCCTCCCACCTTCTCCCCCGACTTGATCCCGAAGTTACATCGTATGGATAAGGATGAGTTTGCACTATCGCACAGAATGACATCAGAAACACAGGAGTCTGATTTCACTTCTAGATCAAGGAGAATAATCCAGACTCCAAAGGAACATTCACTATCTCTAAGTAAATCTAAAGACCCCAACCACAGTCACATCTACGTGCTGAATTTGCCAATCTAAGCACAGTCAGCTGAAACAGCCGGAAAGGAGATACAGAAAATGACTTGCCAAGTACAGTACTTTTTGTTCCTATTCTTCATGTTTCAGTGAATGCCATGTTCTCCTTTAAATCAGTGTGCTAATATCTTGTAACTCCTCTCCTGGTACAGGATCACAAAACTCCTGAACTGAACCGTTTCTGAGGTATGAAAAACATTGGTTCACTCTGAGTGAAAGCCAAATGAAGTTCAGTGGGCACTAGATTTGTTTCATTTGCCTATGCACTTCCAGGCAAGAGCAGAAGCAGCCAAGCCCAGGGCTGTTCCGATGGTATTTCCAACCTGACTACAGACCTAAGAAGTTTGCATGTTTCAGATAAGTATCAAAATGCCAGCCAGCCTCTATAAAGCCTGTCTTTAACTGTCCACCCTTCACCTGTCACATACAGATACAGTACCAAGCCAGAATTCCCCCAGAGGATCTCCAAAGCCTTCGACATAATTCCTCCAGCGCTTGTAGAAATCCAGCTGCCCTGTGTTCCGCCTCTGAAACACCTGCAAAACAAGCACTGCTGCATGAGTCATGAACAATTGGGTAAATTATCCTCATTTTCTGTGTGTGGAATATTCACTAGAGATTGCAATTTCCTCCCATTTGTCCATGATTCCGACCTGCCCACGAAGAGGGGGCGTTAATGAGTGTTCAGAATTCAAGCTGTTGGAAAAATGGGATTGGCCAGGTGATTTCACATGCTTTTTTTTTAATGTTCTCTGATTGGATAAGCACACAAGCTCTTCCAATGCATACACTTGTGACTGGAAATTTAAAATTTGCTTTCCACTAGGGCAAATATTTGCCCTAGTATAACTCAAATCACACTCATGTTTGTGGATAGTGAAGCTAAAAGGAACCACAGACTTCCCAAATGTGGTATAAACACCTAAATAAAGAGGAACTAGATATACAACAGGACCAACCAGAACTTTTTTTTGACGTGTGAATGAATATTCATGGGAAATTGTTTGCATTATTCATTCTTCATTAAAATAAAAACATTAAAAAAAAAGGAGAGAGGAACATAATCTTATTCTAGTGGAGAATGGGGTCCCAGAATCACACAGTTTTATGCTCCTGCCCTGTTGTACAATGCCCTTAGGTCATGGTTTCTATGCTGTGGCCAGCAATCTACTAGGAACTGGACTCAAGACTGCTCGTTCATTTCACATGAGCCACCATACAGTTATCAGGTGGTAAGAAAATTCAGTCACTAACACCATTGGCCTGACTGAAATAAGAGACCAACCAGTGAAATGCTTTGTATCTCAATGAACCTGACCCAGTCCCCAACCAACACACCGTGATTGGTGTTCACCCCACATCAGTCCCAAAAGGGTTAAGGAAGCTGAGAAAGGGCCCGATAGTGAGATAGGCCACATGAGGGGATTAGGCTGGGGTAGCAACTCCTGACTGGAAGATGGAGCTCAGCTGAGCAGGTGAGGGGCTGGGCTGGGCTAATACAAAGCCAGGAAGCTGGCAACAGTAATGGCTACAGTCAGGAAGTCTGCATCCATCCTCTGTGTATTAGAGAGGGAAGGAGGGAGGCCCTGGAAAGAGTGGGAACCTGGCCCTGAGGGAAGGATATATCTGGGAGAGAAAAGGGCAGAGAAGAAAGCCTGTTGGAGGCAGAGTAGGAAGCATCCCAGAGAGAAAGCAGCAAGGTTGAACACTTAGACTTTGGCTGCGTGTTGCAGGGGCCCTTGACTGGAACCTGAAGTAGTGGGCAGTCCCAGGTTCCCCTATCTGCCACTGACAGAGTGGCACTGCCTGGACAGCAGGCCTAGTGAGACTCTATACCCCAGAAGGGAAAACCACATAATGGTCTGGCCAGAGGGCTAAGTCATGAAGACAAAGCTGCAGCTCCTGGAGTGAGAGGCGGGCTGCAGAGTGAGGGAGAGAACAATGGAGAGAGAGACCACAAAAAGAGGAGTTGGACCTGGAAGACAGCTAATCCCCAGAACAGCCAGGAGGAGGCGCCACCTGCAGTGAGTAGATCATGCCATAACACCAAAACTGGCATCCCCATTGGCAGTCTCAGCAGAGGCCAAGGACTGAACAGGCATACAGGCAACTATCCCCTTGCCCTAAAGATGGTACTTCCCAGGCAAGAGTTGAGGAAACACTGATGTGGAGCTGTAAAGTAAAAGGAGGGGATAATTCCAGTGCTGCTGGCCATAAACAGAAGATTTCAGTCTCCAGGGATGTCAGAGCAGCGTTAGAGTCACTTGATTTTTTTAAAAAGTAAACAGATGTGCAAAGACCACAGCACCACTCACTATCCATCCGCCTCCATCGGTGGTCATGTCACAGTACACCTGCATGGGCCTGCCAGCATCACCATTCAGGTAGATAGTGTACATGCCACTGGTGGCATTCCCATTTTGCTGGGTCTGGCTGCAGTCAGCAGGATATGGGTAGAGGAAGGCAACTGTGGGAACAAGACAGGGAAAAACTCACATCAGCAAGTCTGAAAAGGAAGCTGGAGAGGCATTCCCAACTGAGTCTCCTAAAGAGGATGTGGTTTGAACAGGGGCACAGCCTTAGGATTATGGGATCATATAGAGTCCTGCACCATATGCACCCCCACAGGCACCCATCAGCTGGAGCACAAACCCGGATGCCCTGGGTCCTGCCATGCTCTGGTAAAGACTGCCCTCCACCTAAGCTGCAAATTAGCTTTACCTGCTGTCTACCTGGCCCAGGAATGGGGTCAGTGGAGACTGCAGGAGGCAGCCTGGTCCTCGAGAGGGTCTCAGGAAAGCTGGATTTGTGTGGGGATAGATATGTAGGGAAGTCATAGATGTGTAGAGAAGTACTGGTTCTAGATGGAGAGGGAGCTCACTAACCCCTCCCCACTTGCATCATTTGTCCACAATGGGCAATGCCTTTGTGACCTTCCCCAATAGGACAAACCCCTGCATCATATTGGCATGAAAGACACCTTAACAGGATGCCATTTTGATGCAAGTTTCCTGGACCCTGTTAGTTAATTTGGGCACCTCCTGAATTACAAAAGCAGTGCTTGCAAGATACAAGTTGCCCCCATGCTACTGGGATGATGCAAGCACATCCAGAGTTGGTGATCGCCTTCCCTACCTCCAATCAGCTTTTCACAATCAGTCTATCTATTGTACTCAACTGGTAGGTTCTGCAAGCAACATCATCCAGATGGATCTGAATCTCCATATAAGCCATCCCACTGTCACCTCATGCTCTTCCCCAACTGCATCTCCAACCCACCATGCAGCCTGGCCCAGGGCACCAGACTGGGAGTCAGGAGATCTGTGTTCTATTCCCAATTTACCAACTTACTGGATGACCTTTGATGAGTCATTTAATCTCTCTGAGCCTCTGTAAAGTGGAACCATCACCACTAACCCTTAACTGCGAAGTGCTACAGATGAGATGTGCTAAGTATTATTAGTGCCAAGCCCTACCTGTCAAGAAGGTATTGGCTGCCTTTCTGCTCCAGCGGTCTCCCTTAAAGGCCACCACGTAGACTGTGTACCTCACTCCTTGTCCCAGGCCTTCCAGTATGAACCTTTGCTCATTAGGACCCAGTTGCACTTCCTGCCAAAAAAAGAAAAGATAGACTAAAGATCTGCTCAGCTCTATAGTCTGCGTCATCTATTCCCGGCCATGCTGCTTCCATTCTCTGCATGCTTTTAGAGGTGAGCAGGGCACAGGCAGAAGAATGCTGGTAGCAGGGTGTACCCTATAACTACAGGGCCATCTGCATATTAGTGGGTAGGTTGAGGATTCCCTGTCCCTGGAATGAGGATTTGGGGGAAAGAGTGAACTTGCACAGACCCTACAGACAACTGTATCCACAGGGAATAGGCTGTATACACATTCATGAATGAGATACCTCACGTTCAAGGTGCCCTCTGACATGTATAAACACACCGGAAAAGCAAAGTTAAAACACATCCCTGCCCCCAGTGTCAAGGCCAGTTATGATGGAACTCTCCTATTGCGTGAAGGATCTGCCCAATCCACAACACCCAGCTGCAGTCACAGTGGTATGTGCCGTCCAGTAGGACACCAGCTCCTCCCAACAAGTGTAATTAAGATGGAATATTCCACTCCCCGAGGTACCTTCTCACTTCAATTCTAAGGTTGTGCATGTGTTCTTGATAATGGGATCTGATTGGCTAAACCCAACATCCCATGTGCACTTTAAACTGGGGCGGTTTGTAACAAGCAGGAATTGAAGAGCTCACAGTACCTTGCTGGTGCCATCTGGAGCCTGGTAGGTCAGAGTGTAGCCACTGATCTGTGCAACAGGCGGTGTCCAGGTAACTACACCACTGCTGTGTGTCACATCTGATACATGGAGGTTCTTGGGAGAGTCAATTTCTATTTCAAACAAAAAAAGAGAACAGAATCAAACACTCTGATTGTACAAGTACCTCTGAGAAGAAGCAACCCATAGAGTGAATCTTCAGCATAGGGCATGGAAGTATAGAGCTTTTAGTTCCCAATATTGTTAACTGGGACTCTGCAACTAAAGAAACTATATTTCATGGTTAACAAGGAGGAATGCGTGAGGTACGTTAGCAGAGTGTTGGGGCCCAGAACTGAGATAGTAAAGACTGCTGCAGATCAGGCTTCAGATACACTGGCATGGGAGCTGAAATTGAAATAGGATGGGGTGTTTTAGGTCAGATATGAGGTGGCACCCTGGACTGAAATAGCATAGGGTGCTACTGAGGGAAGACGGGATTACATTGGCAGAGCTGTGAGGGCATCCAGAGTTGGAATAGCTGATGATCTGAATTTGGGTTCACTGGCAGAACTACATGGGAGAAGCTCACACAGCATTTGCCTGCACCCTGAGCCAACACCAAGCTCATCTTCAGCCGGTGTTACCTGTCCCACATGTTTATGATCACCAAAATACACCCCTCTTTCCTTAAAAACAAGCTAACCAGCCTGAAAGTAAATATGTATTTCTCACTTCTAAAGACTGAGGAGTTAAGAGTCAGTGTAAGGGACTGGGGCATAGGTGCTCTGGCCTAGCTATCATGGCTGGGCTGGTGGCCATTAGTCAGGGATGGCCATGAGGCAGCATCAGCAAGCAGGGATCAAAGTAATCACTAGAGCCAAGACTGATAAGGAAGGGTCAGGGTCAGAGTCAGCCCAGTGTCAGAGACCTGAGATCAGAGGTAACTACCAGGCTGGAATCAGGTTGCAAGAGTCAGGCTGGGGCTGGAGGCCCGAGCTCAGAGATTGTTACAAGCCTGGAATCAGGAGGCCAAAGTAAGGCTCAAAGTCAGGCTGCGGTCAGAGACTGGAGATCAGAAAGCGAGGTGAGGTCTGGAGTCACAGCAGGCCAGAGATCTGTGTGGTTGCCCAGACAACTTCCTGGGGTACCCTCTAGGATAAAATAGTGAACATGGGCCAATCAGAAGTCCACAGTGTGCTATCACTCTGGATCCTTTGGGTGGTACTTCCTGCAGTGCCTAATCTCCACAGTGCCCCTTGAATGTGGCTCTGTATGGCCACCTCCTGGCGATTTGGGAACAGGTTCCACGAACCCAGATTCTAGTCTCACGGATCCTTACAGTCATGGTGCAGGGACATGAATTAAGGTGGTCCTTCTCTTTCTCCAGAGGTAAACACTGCAACACACTTGGGGTTCTCTTCTCCAAACCCGGGGGCTTTGCATTAACGATCTATAACCACATAACCCATCCATGGCAAAGTGGCTCCCTTTGCAGGCACCAGAAACATTTTATTTTAATATGTTTGCTTACCCTAACAATTCACAAGTACAAAATAACCCACATCTCTATGGTTCTGATCTCTGGTATTTTGTGTGATTCAGACCGCCTCCACAAACAGCAAAGACTAAGCCATACATTCAAATATCTGTGTGGTTGTTTCCTGAGTGTGACAAGCAGGCTGGCTTTATTTTTAACCAATACTATTTCACTGTGATCATAAATAGCCTCTGATATTGTTTTATACTGGACATACAAGAATGAAGGGTACGAGGCATCCTTTGTGACCAGTGTGGTTTCTGACACTTGTTCCCTAGAATGATCCCCTCCTAGCTCCTGAGCAGAATTTTTCAAAAACAGAAGCGGAGGCAGCCGCTGAAGAATCCTTCCCAGTTTTCACACAATGCTTGGTGCATTCTGGGATAGGGTTCTTTGGAAACCTGTCGTTAATTTCACAAAGACCTCCATCCATACGGTCCCTCCCTGTTTCAATCTGAGGGTGTCGGGTGGGCAGCGCCGGTATTCAGGAAAAAGCACCAACTATTGACCTGGGAGCCTATGCACCCACCCACCGACGTATGGCAGAATTATTGACACAGGAGCCTATGCACGTGCGCATACACACACACCCACACACGTTTGGCAGAGCATCATGGAGCTCACAGAAATACTCAGCTCAATTCCCTGCTCCACAACAGGCTTCCTGTGTGACCTGGGGCAAGTCACTTACTCTCTGTGCCTCAGTTCCCCATCTGTCAATGGGGCTGCCCTCCCGCACAGGGTGTTGTGAGGATAGATAAATCCATTAAAGACTGTGAAGCACTCAGATACCACAAAAAGAAAAGGAGGACTTGTGGCACCGTAGAGACTAACACATTTATTTGAGCATAAGCTTTCATGAGCTACAGCCCACTTCACTGTAGCTCACGAAAGCTTATGCTCAAATAAATGTGTTAGTCTCTACGGTGCCACAAGTCCTCCTTTTCTTTTTGCGAATACAGACTAACACGGCTGCTACTCTGAAACCTGTCAGATACTACAGTAATGGGGGCCATATAAGTATCTAAGTTAGACAGATGGAAAGAGTGGAGCAGCAGTGGCTTGAACACAGGGTTGGGAGGCAGGAGAACCTTATTTCTCTTATGTTTAGAGAGTTTTTGTTTCATAAAATAGAAACAGAGAGAAGATATCTACACAGACAAAGATCCCTTATCAGGTGAGAGAGGCAGGAACTGGTACATCAAAGCGCACATAAGGAGCTATTAACTGTGAATGAAACACCATATATTCAATGAGCTGTTATTCCCATCAATTAAAATAACTATTTACTGAACTTCCGAGATTAAGAAAAAAATCAATTTTTATTACGTATGGAAGCAGAAATCCTCTCAGGTTAGTACTGTGGAAGCTTGGACAGCAGAGGGAGATCTAGGGTATTGGAATCCATTGTCCTACTCCAGTGATACTCTTGTCAGCATTCCCTGTGCTCTCCCAACCAATTCACAGTGCTACTGTTAAGGGTCTGAGCTGCAGGGGGCTGTTACAACTTGGACACCAAAAACAAACTGCCTCTTGGCCTAAAAACTTCCCATACAAGGTCTCTGCTACAAGCCTATTATTTTAATCATTGGGAATAACGTAGCTGTTGTCTTGAGTAAGATTTGAAAGGTATTAGCAGAGCAGGTCGAGAATTTTCTGGCACTGAAAAATACCATTTTGTTGAAATCAACATGTTTTGTGAGAATGTATCAATTTTGACAACAGTTTATTTAGGAAAAAATTCAAAATGTTTTGATTTTTCATTTTTAATTTTTTTAAACAAATGTGCAGCACTGGGGGAAAGCCGACAGTTACGGTGCAGCACGTGGTTCAGACAGAGACATCCCTTAGGAGAGGATCTATTAATGTAGATTCTCTATGTCCTAGTAAGGAGAAGAGGATGGAAGATGATAGAATACAGGAAGGATCGATGAGAAACAGTCAAATGAAAAAAGGCCCCATTCAATTACATCATGCAATGGACAGAAAACTAAAAAGTGACAAGTTTTTAAAGTGCTTATATACCAATGCCAGGAGTCTAAATAATAAGATGGGTGAACTAGAGTGCCTCATATTAAATGAGGATACTGATATAACAGGCACCACAGAAACTTGGTGGAATGAGGATAATCAATGGGACACAGTAATACCAGGGTACGAAATATATAGGAAGGACAGAACAGGTCATGCTGGTGGGGGAGTGGCACTATATGTGAAAGAAAGTGTAAAATCAAATGAAGTAAAAATCTAAAAGGAACCAAACTGTACCACAGAATCTCTATGGATACTAATTTCATGCTCTAATAATAAGAATCTAGCAGTAGGGATATATTACCAACCATCTGACCAGGATGGCAATGGTGACTGTGAAATGCTCAGAAAGATTAGAGAGGCTATTAAAATAAAAAACTCAGTTATAATGGGGAATTTCAACTATCCCCATATTGACTGGGTATACCTCAGGACGGGATGTAGAGATAAAGTTTCTTGACACCTTAAATGACTGCTTCTTGGAGCAGCTAGTCCTGGAACCCACAAGAGAAGAGGCAATTCTTGATTTAGTCCTAAGTGGAGCACAAGATCTGGTCCAAGAGGTGAATATAGCTGGAACGCTTGGTAATAGTGACCATAATATAATTAAATTTAACATCCCTTTGGTGGGGAAAACACCATAGCAGTCCAACACTGTAGCATTTAATTTCAGAAAGGGGAACTACACAAAAATGAGGAAGTTAGTTAAACAGAAATTAAAAGGTACAGTGCAAAAAGTGAAATCCCTGCCAGCTGCATGGAAACTTTTTAAAGACACCATAATAGAGGCTCAACTTAAATGTATACCCCAAATTAAAAAACATACTAAGAGAATCAAAAAATTGCCACCGCGGCTAAACCACAAAGTAAAAGAAGCAGTGAGAGGCAAAAAGGCATCCTTTAAAAAGTGGAAGTTAAATCCTAGTGAGGAAAATAGAAAGGAGCATAAACTTTGGCAAATGAAGTGTAAAAATATCATTAGGAAGGCCAAAAAAGAATTTGAAGAACAGCTAGCCAGAGACTCAAAAAGTAATAGCAAAAAAAAATGTAAGTACATCAGAAGTAGGAATTCTGTTAAACAACCAGTGAGGCCAAGGGACGATTGAGATGCTAAAGGACCACTCAAGGCCGATAAGGCCATTGTGCAGAAACTAAATGAATTCTTTGCATCGGTCTTCATGGCTGAGGATGTGAGGGAGATTCCCAAACCTGAGCTATTCTTTTTAGGTGACAAATCTGAGGAACTGTCCCCGATTGAGGTGTCATTAGAGGAGGTTTTGGAACAAATTGATAAACTTAACAGTAATAAGTCACCAGGACTAGATGGTATTCACCCAAGAGTTCTGAAGGAACTCAGATGTGAAATTGCAGAACTACTAACAGTAGTCTGTAACCTATCATTTAAATCAGCTTCTGTACCAAATGACTGGAGGATAGCTAATGTGACGCCAATTTTTAAAAAGGGCTCTAGAGGTGATCCCGGCAATTACAGGCCAGTAAGCCAGACTTCAGTAAGAGGCAAACTGGTGGAAACTACAGTAAAGAACAAAATTGTCAGACAAATAGATGAACATAATTTGTTGGGAAAGAGTCAACATGGTCTTTGTAAAGGGAAATCATGCCTCACCAATCTACTAGAATTCTTTGAGGGGGTCAACAAGCACGTGGACAAGGGGGATCCATTGGATATAGTGTACTTAGATTTTCAGAAAGCCTTTGACAAGGTCCAATCGAGTAAGAGCTTAGAACCAGTGACTGCTGCCTCCCGTGTTGTGTCGACGCTTGAGGCAAAGCTGGAGTACCTCTCCAGGGTGCAAGCCTGGGCAGATAATATGGAGGCCCTGAATTGCCCATGCATCAGTACCCCCCTTCTCTCGGCATCACCGATAAAATCCAGAGGAGAGGAAGAATCAATACATCTGGTCCCCGATCCATTACAGGAGTTGCCGGAAAGATACTAAGATGTTAGTCTGACCACCTTTGGGGCTCCACTCCGGATTTTCTGTCTGAGTTTACTCTCATAAACTTTCATTCTCCTGACTTCACCCACAACGCAGTGGGGCTTTTCTGTCAGGGGTTGCTCCCTTAGCCTTATGCCCTCCCGGGCTACCCATAAGGCAGTGAGTTTAATGAGCCGCAGATAGTACCATCTACTGTCATTATGATAGTAGGCATAGCCTGACCTGAGTAACTCTGATAAAATATAAGGGTCCTGGTTCTCCATTGCCCTGTGCAGTCATTTATACCGGTGCAAAGGGGGTGTAAAATGCTACCAAATTCAAAGAGTATCAGGATAAATTAGATGTCATTTGTGACAGAAATTGCAACCATATGCAATATCTTTGGGAACCATATTGTATTAAGTTTATGAATGTTTTATGTAGCATTATGGACCAGGGATCTTATGCAACTCCATGGTGGAAGGGTTACCACAGCTCCTCCAAGAACTAAAAAAGTCGGGGGAGATTACTGCCATCCCTGAGATTGCAAACAGCTCCAGAGAAGTATCACCTCCTTGGGTGGTTTGCATATACTCATTTAGGGCAGTACCAAAGGAGAGGCAAGAGAAAAAGGAAGAACTTGGGATTTAAAAGGCTGAGTTTACACAGACTCAGGGCATGTCTACACTACAGAGGCTACAGCACTGTAGCTATGCTAGCATAACCCCATAGTATAGGTACAACCTATAGCGATGGCAGGGGTTTTTCCACCACTGTGGGAACATCACCTTCCCAAGCAATTGCAGTTAAGATAATGGAAATATTCTTCCATTAACCCAGCTGTGTCTACACCGGGGCTTAGGTCAGCATAGCTACTGCACTCAGGGATGTGGATTTTTCACACTCCTGAGCAAAGTAGCTATATCAACCTAAATTTTAAGTGTAGACCAAGCCTTAGGGTCTTTCTTTGGATTCAGCAAACGGACAGGAGTTGTGGTCCTAAGGCGGCCCCAACCCTCGCTGAAGGGTTGGAAGGACTTAGGGCTACCAGGGCCCTATAGGACTGATGGGCTATTTCTGTTACATTTAGTGTGCATTTAGAGTCTGTTTTGTTTTACCTTTTTTCTGTGATGCTTTTGTCTTTGAATAAATGTGCTTACTTTGGATGAGTTTTGTGGTCACTGGTAAAACAGGGTTGTTATCCTTGGAAAGAAACGAAGGAGCAGGGGCTAGACATTTGTCAGGCCTGCCTAGGATAATCACAGTAAAGAGAAGGGGTGTGCAGCCTAAAACTCCAAGTTGGAAGGGAGTGGGACATGGGGCCCTGTCCAGAGAGAAGTGAAAGCTAGAGGCCTCAGACTTCAGGACCATTGCTGGAGTGGACCACAGAGGAGGTGGGTTAAAAGTGCAGTTACCCTTCAATCTGCAAGCTTTCAGGGTGCATATAGCTCTTGCCTCATCTAGTTCTGCTCTCTGTGCATTGCTAACAGCTCATAGTTATCCAGTTATCTTCATGATAGTTTAGCCACTGCAGAATTTCAAGTAGCTAATACCTGATTGGCAAAGTTACCTTTATACACAGTGATACAAAAAGAGATCATGCAACACCAGATAAAAAAGGGATAGACATGTCTCTATCTAACTTCCCTTCACTCCTGTCCCCCATTACCTGTCACAGCTTTTGTGTTTGCTCTCTTGCTCTGCTGGCCTCCCTTCTCAGCCCAGATATAGATGATGTACTCCATGCCTGGCATCAGATCCATTAGAGTGATGATGCTCTTCTCTTTCCCCACAGCTATCTCTCTGGTGTCCCCATCAGCTGAGGTGTAGCTCACCATGTATCTGTCTATGGGAGCCTGGACTCTGTTCCAGGAGATGGTGGCCGTGCCCTCTGTCACTCGGTCGGTCACCAGGTTAATTGGGCTGTCAATGTCTGAGTAAAAGTGTGGATTATTAGAACATTATGAACAGATTCTAAACTGTCTCCTTGAAGCTTGTTTCTTTTGGTCTCTAAACTTTATTTTCATACTCTTAGAACTTTAGTTAGGTAAAGTACAATATGTACATAGGTTTCAGTATTCATGTCTCAATGGCTAAGCATCACTCTTGCTTCTGGGGTTTTAGGACTGAAATATTGGGACAACTGAAGGTCAGAACTGAAGTTCATTGGAAGATGCCCTAGCAGTGGTATTGCAATTGATGCTGCAGGTAATGGCTCAACTCCCTAGGAAAGCCAGGAGTGGAATTTTTGGCTAGGGGCTCCAGCTCAAACCTGAACTGTGAAAGGACTTGGGACTGGAACAGCGAGGGTGCTGTAGGTCAGGAATGAGGCCCAACAAGAAGGGACAGAACTAAATTAGTAGGAGTCCTACAGACTGCAGTTGGGGTACACTGGCAGAGGTGTGAGGGAGAAGTGCACATAGCATTTACCCATGCTACATCTCACTTCTGCCAGTTCTGTTTCCTCTCACAGGAGAACCAGTTTCTGAGAGCTTTGAGATGCCTACAAGGGGCACACTCCTACAGCACATAGCTGTGTGGCAAAAAGTCCTATATTTTATATTGTGTGTAACAAACTAGGGGGAGGATACATTCACAGCTAATCCAATGTGAAGCCAGTCTGCTACTGTAAAAAGAAAAGGAGTACTTGTGGCACCTTAGAGACTAACCAATTTATTTGAGCATGAGCTTTCGTGAGCTACAGCTTTTCTTTTTGCGAATACAGACTAACACGGCTGTTACTCTGAAATCTGCTACTGTAGTATCGCATTCCAGAAATTCCCCTGGTTACCTGTCACAGCTTTAGTGTTTGTCCTCTTGCTCTGCTGGCCTCCCTTCTCAGCCCAGATGTAGATGTTGTACTCTCTGCCTGGCTTCAGACCCGTCAGGGCGGTGGTGCTCTGGTCTTTCCCCACAGCTATCTCTCTGGTGTCCCCATCAGCTGAGGTATAGCTCACCATGTATCTGTCTATGGGAGCCTGGACCCTGTTCCAGGAAATGGTGGCTGTGTCCTCTGTCACTTGATTGGTGACCAGGTTAGTTGGGCTGTCAATTTCTGCGAGTAAAAACCTTGATTATTACAATGTTATTGACGGATTCTCAAATGATTCCCCTAGGGCACCATGTCTTCTAGACTCAAATCTTTCCATACCCTTAGATATTGTGTGAGATGGAGGAAAACAGAAGGCTGCTTACTTGTCAGCCCTATCACTCACATCTCACTAGGTAAATACTGCTCTTTCTATCAGTGCTTCTGGACTCACGACTGGAGGACTCAGAACTTGGCAGAACTTTTAGGGGGCCCTAGCCTGGAGTAATAAGCTTGTTGTGAGTCAGGATTTAGATACATTGGCAGAGCTGTGCATACTCTAGGACTAAAATAGCAGGAGATGCCATAGGGGAAGATTGTGGTGCACTGGCAGAGCCCTGTGGGGGAAGTTTGCACAGAACCTATGTCAGGGGTGGGCAAACTACGTCCCACGGGACACATCCGGCCCATCAGAACTTTTAATCTGGCCCTTGAGCTCCTGCCAGGGAGTAGGGTCGGGGGCTTTCCGCATGGCTCCTGGAAGCAGCGGCATGTCCCCCCTCTGGCTCCTATGTGGCTCTGCTCTCTCCACATGCTGCCCCTACCCCAAGCGCCACCCTCCCTCAGCTCCCATTGGCTGGGAACCGTGGCCAATGGGAGCTGCAGGGGCGGCACCTGCAGATGGGGCAGCAAGCGGAGCCACCTGGCCAGTGCCATGCCTCCACATAGGAGCTGGAGGGGGGCATGCTGCTGCTTCTGGGAGCTGCGGGGGCAGTGCCTGTGGATGGGGCAGCGCGCAGACCCACCTGGCTGCACCCTCCACATAGGAGCCAGAGGGTGGCATGCTGCTGCTTCCAGGAGCTGCTTGAGGTAAGCACCACCCAGAGCCTGCACCCCTGAGACACCACCCCCCTGTGTCCCAACCCCCTGCCTCAGCCCTGATCCCCCTTCCGCCCTCCAAACCCCTCAGTCCCAGCCTGGAGCACCCTCCTGCACTCCAAACCCCTCATCCCCAGCCCCACCCTAGAGCCTGCACCCCCAATTGGAGCCCTCAACCCCCCCTGCGCCCCAGCCCCCTGCCCCTCTCCTGCCCTCTGAACCCCTCGGTCCCAGCCCAGAGCACCCTCCTGCACCTCAAATCCCTTATCCCCAGCCCCACCCCAGAGCCTGCTTTCCCAGCTGGAGCCCTCACCACCCCCCTGCACCCCAACCCCCAACTTTGTGAGCATTCATGGCCCACCATACAATTTCTATACCCAGATGTGGCCCTCAGGCCAAAACGTTTTCCCACCCCGACCTATGTGCATTATGGAACCAGTCAAGCACCCCATTAAAGTCAATGACATTTTGCAATTGAGTAAATGGGAGTGGGGGTAAATCCTAAATCTCAATCTTGGAATGGCCTGCAGCATGTATGTACCTATGCCATGTTTGGCCCCATGACTAATTGTTCTATAATGTACACTGTGCAATAAGCTGGAAGAAAACAGAACAAAACACAGCTAATCTTCAGGGAGCAGTTTGTGGTATGCAGTTAGCTAGTATCACATCCCAGAGATTCCCCTGGTTACCTGTCACAGCTTTAGTGTTTGCCCTTTTGCTCTTCTGGCCTCCCTTCTCAGCCCAGATGTAGATGATGTACTCCAGGCCTGGCTTCAGACCTGTCAGGGTGATGGTGCTCTGGTCTTTCCCCACGGCTCTCTCTCTGGTGTTCCCATCAGCTGAGGTGTAGCTCACCACGTATCTGTCTATGGGAGCCTGCACCTCATTCCAGGAGATGGTGGCTGTGTCCTCTGTCACTCGGTCTGTCACCAGGTTTGTTGGGCTGTCAATTTCTTTTAGAGAAGGTTTAACAGTGAAAAGCTACAGTGAGGATTCTCCCCAACACTTCATTAGGAGAGACCCATCGGTCCTTCCCCACTTTTCATGGTCCTTCCCCCTTCCACAGCTGTGAAAATGATACTGTTTCTTAGGCCAACAGCAAAGCTCCTACATGAATCAGCACACAGGAAAAAGCGCTCTTAGGGACTGGCTGCTACCCTCCATCTACCCAGAGTGCAACTATATCGTTTCTGTTAAAAAAAAAACCAACACATCCCACAAGCACCAGATGTGCTAACCCTTACACCAGTTATCCCTCAGTGTCCTACTCTCAGGGTAGTTCTTGGAAAGGTCAAAATGGTGACCTAGGGAAGGTTTCTGAGGTTGTTTATGGCATTCTGAAGGCAAGTCATTAATTCCATGTTCAGCCAACTAAGAGGCCTTGATGATGGCTATGTTTTACTAATTGAATGACCTCCATTGTACTGATATTAATGACTAGCATCTGTGAATAGGGATCCCTACCAGCACTTGTGATTAAAAGGCTCCATTTTCACAACTAAAAGCTAGTTCAGCCTACTAGTGAGAATTACAATTTACAGGATAGATTCTTGTCTCACTAATACCAGTGTAGATCAGAAGTAACTTCAGTGAAGTCAATGGAGTTGATAAACTGGTGTGAGATCATGATCAAGCTCCACACTTCTTCCCCTGCCATTAGTTACCTGTCTCAGCTTTCGTGTTTGCTCTCTTGCTCTGCAAGCCTTCCTTCTCAGCCCAAATGTAGATCACGTACTCCATGCCTGGCTTCAGACCCATCAGGGTGGTGGTATTCTGGTCTTTCCCTACAGCTACCTCTCTGGTGTTCCCATCAGCTGAGGTGTGGCTCACCATGTATGTGTCTATGGGAGCCTGGACCCTGTGCCATGAGATGGTGGCTGTGTCCTCTGTCACTCGGTCGGTCTCCAGGTGAGTTGGGCTGTCTATTCCTTTAAGAGAGTGTTTGAAAGTGCAGGGTTAACAGACTCCCTGAGCAATATTCCACCTGATCACAACAGTCACATTCCTTGTCATGTGTAGCATGTCTGCATTTCTTTTACTCTACAGTGATCAGCAAACTCTTTCAAGAGTTTGAAAGTATTTTCCACCACCCAATTTTATTCTGTTCCTGACAGCGGAGAGACACACCTAGCTTTATTTGGTTTACTTTCTGGTCTGGTCAGCAGGAGGGCAGATAGCTTTGAGAATACTATTAGTGAGTTAAATCCTGGTGCAAAGCCAGAGAGTAGGGCTCAGAGTGTATTACTGGTGGGTCCTACAAATATGGTGGCTTTTAAAAACTTGAAATACATTATTTGTGGACGAAATGGCAGAATTATCTTTTAAATAGCTGTTTTGAATCCAGGAGGCACTCCTTCCTAGACTGATACCATTTCAAGAGAATGGAAATTTGGGGAGAATAATAATACTCAGTCCATTTCAATTTTCAAATTACTTTACCAGCAATAACTCATCCATCCTCACAATAGCACCCCAGAGGCAAGTATTGTTATCTGTGGATGAGGACAATGAGAGAGAAGGGCTAGATGACTGCCCAAAGACACAGGAGTCAATATCAGGAGTTCCTGGTTCCCAGCTTTATACTCAGAGGAATGGACTAGTCCATTTACTAAGGGCCTGACACAGGGATCCTTTAAAGAAGAAATTAGTATTCTCCATTAAAGCATCCCAGTGGCGCCTTGGCCTCTTCACGCACTATCATGAGGAAGGGAGGAGAGAGAATGACCCAGAGATGGCAGGAGAATCATCTTAAAGGAAAAATGGTAGTCTTGAGTATTGAATAATTCATAGATGTTCAGGTCAAAAAGGACCATTGTGATTATCTAGTCTAGTTCAACCTCCTGAACCACCCAGGCCAAGGAACTTCACCCCAGTAATTTCTGGTTGACTTACAGCATCTCCTTTAGAAAAAGATATCTAGTTTTAATACAAAAAGTTCGAATGATGGAGAATCCCCAAGATGAATTGCTCCAATGATTAGCCTCACTTAACATTTTGCACCTTAATTCCTGTCTCCATTTGTCTAACTTCAACTTCCAGCCACTGGAACTCATTATGTGATTTGTTAATGCTTTTGGAGACCTAGTTTAAGATCACTTTAATGTGTGAGATGTCCTTTATTGGGGAACTGTACCCATTGCTGGCAATGGAGGATGGTCTTCTCCACCCCTTCTCTGGTACTAACTCTGGAGTGTTGGGAGAGGCTATGCAAACAATTCATGTACCGTGCAGCATCTGTGCAGCCAACCAACCTGGGTGGGTCTCTCCCAAAGGAGCTCTTGTTCCACAAAACCATTACACAGCTGGCACTCCAGACAGCACACTTTATGCAGCTGTGTTGCAGTTATGTTCTACAAATTCCCTTAAACTTCTATGAATTGGCTGATCTGGTCACACTGAAGAGAACGAGGGGAAAATATTAGAGGAATTAATAAGTTCATGAAAAGCCTTGGGGCTGTGCAGCACTAGAATGGTCCTACGCAAAGCAGAGAGCATTCTAGTAATAGCCACTGAAAAGGAGATGGAATCTATATATTCACAATGTTCGAAAACATAGATGACAGATGGAGCCATCACGTTCCAAAGGCAGCAGTGCTTCCTGACCGCACTTCCTTCTAAGGGTAACTGGAATCAGATGTCAAGAGTAAACAAGAGCACCGATCAAAAGAAAAGTCCAGCAGACTCCGGCCAGGCAGTGGCCAACAAAAGAGACCTCGGCAGTGCCAAACCCACCCAGCAATCCCATTAACAGAGAAGAAATGTGGGAGGGACGGAATGACGATTCCATTTGGGGATCTGTAGGTTTCCAGTAGTGGGGGAATCCTGGATTCCCATCTCACAGATGAGAAACAGATGCAGTCAGAGTGAGAACAAGGCAGAATTGCCCTGCTGTTCGCATGCAGCATTTAATTACTGGCTGTTGGAGGACCTGGCCAGCTATCTGTCCTCTGCACAGTGTAGTGACCAGAGCAACATCCCCCCCCCCCATATGCCTTCCTCACTCCTCTGAGAAGAGGACCCAGCCCTCTCTCCACCTTCCATGCATCCCAGTTGCTTCCCCTTGCTGCTGGTCCTACCTCCCATCTGTAACCCACACGCTCATCTGGACTGATGATGTTTTACATAGTAAGTTACAATGCAGCGTTGCTGAGTCTCACGATATTTGGTGTTTGTCTTAAAGCCCTAGCTCCCACAGTCTGGTGATTACCTGAAAATTTCAGGTTGGGTTTTTTTGTTTTTGTTTTTTGTTTGTTTTTTTAGTTTCAAACCCTCATGATTGTGGAGAGAAGCTTGAAAACATGAATCAACTCAAAACAAGCATCACCACCTAGGGAGCTTTGATCCTCCTTGGGACTTCTGGATACGTACCAGTTCGGCCATTCACTATAGATGGTTTTCCTTCAATCTCATCCTTCACGGATATGACAGTGATCTTGTACTCTGTGCCAGGCTTCAGGCCTATAAGAAAACAAAAGGAGCAGTCCCAACAATTAGGGAATAAAGTACATAAATGTTTTCTTAGAGAAATTGCATCTTCTTCTCTCTGATTTTACATTACAGCGGAGTTTGAGTTGTGGGACTGGGATTTGTACTTCTTGTTTGGAGAATATGTGGATATGATGTTTTGGTTTAGGCTCATCTCTACAGGCCATACTGGTCATAAATTGTGGGGATTTCCATTTTACCCATCCTTAGTGTTCCCAGGTCTGAAATGAGAGAGTAAATTTTATTTATATGAAAATAGAATTAAAGTTGAATGAACGTGCATTGACATTTACTAGCCATACCACATGGGGAGCTTTTCCATGTGATGTCCGGTATCACCCTTCAACCCACACACACAGAGAATATCCTCATGATGGCTACTTGTGAAGATGTGAACAAGTGCTGGACTTGGTGCAAAGAAGCAAGTAAAGCTGTAGATCCAGATTCACAGCTGGTGTAAATCACTGAATTCAATGGAGCTATGCCAGTATACACCAGCTGAGGATCTGCCCCATATGATTGGCAATATTGAAAGTGAGACTCCCAGCCAGACAAAAAGCAAATAATACCTCCTCTTTTGCTACAAGAGCAAGCTAAATAAAGTGCTCTGGTCATTCACATTCAGAATCTTTCATGATTTGAGATCAGATTGAATGGAAATGGGTCCTATCCTGGGGTTCTGCCAGTTAAATTCCAGCCCCGATCATCAGTGAACATATGTGCTGAAGGGAACTCAGTATAGTTTCAAACTAACTTGGCCAGTAGGTGCTACAGGTGGTTAACTTGGCAGACTTTCATCTATGTACTACAAGGTTCATGGATAAAGGCTCATCATGGATAAAGGCTCATGTGCGGGAGAGGGATGCATTGTAGGTGTCTCACAGCAGCAGCCTGGGCATGAAGTGAAAGAGTTCTGCTAACTGTCTGTGTCTGCTCCGAGCATCAGCCACACAGAAACAAAAGAGATGCTCTTCTCAGGTTATGGTTCAAGAGTCAACCTCTCTCTTGTGCCTGTCTCTCCCCATTTCTCCCTGGCTGTGACCCGTTTGGGCTGTATCCAGTCACTTACCGCTGATGATGTATCTGCTCTTTGGTTCGCTGCTTTTAGGCACCACCACCTCCTTCTCCTGTCCTTGCGGTGAGCTGAACCTCAGTTTAAAATAGTCCGGCTCTGTTGGGGGGTTCTCCCACTCCACTTCCAGCGAGTCCTCCATCTCCTCTGTCACCCAGGCAGCGCTAACTGCAGATAGAGCTACAGAAGACAGAGTGGGGAGGGTGATGAGCGAGCACCACATTATCATTTCAGCAGCACCAAAGCCACCTCTTCTCCATGTGTGCACACAAGACAGGAAAGAGCCAAACTACCTCCACCAGGGGTCTCAGGCCTCAAAACCAGGTACAATTTCTCAGATGAACTGAAGGGTTGTTAACTAGACACAATGCAATTATTCTTTCAACAGGCCTGACTGTACTCACTGTAAAGCTCTATCCCAGCCATAGAGGACTCTGGCTTCTATGTCTTCTGTTACAAATAAATACATACTCCCCATAATCCAACCCTTTACTGGCTTTACCAAGGGCATTGAGATAGCACAGTGTGAAGATCTCATCACCTAAGTAAGGTCAGACTAATTCAGGTCTGGCCCAGAGATGCCTGAGGAAAACATAGCTACTGCAGGGAGTGGTGCTGACAATTCAAAACTGGCACTCTGCCGTCTGAGTCCATAATGCTACAACACCCCAGCATGATGTTAGGAAGTGCTGTGCGCCTGGCATTGCCATATGTACAGATGAAGTCCTGACTACTTGTACTCTTTAAGGATCTTCATACCATGCTGTACAGCCTACGCAGTACCATAACCCTACCCAAGTCCCACCTGGGTAATTACATTCTCCTTCTTTGAAACCCTTCTGTGTCCATTCAAATGGATGGTTCTCGGAGAGTAAGGAGCTGCAATTTCTTGGAGAGAGGATGGCACAAATTAAAAAACAAATTCCTCTACCTCCAACTGCAGAGAAGGAGCAGAGAGAAGGCTAAGATCTAAAGAGTGGAGTGAGGAAGTATATATGAGGCAAGATCGCTCAGGCAGAGATTGGTGGAGTGGAGAGAGTGGGCAGGGTTATAGGTCAATATAAGTTCTGAGGGGTCAGGTGGAAAGAGTCCATGGAGAATTCTGAAGGCCAGCAGGGCATTTGAGATTGACAGGAAGACAATGAAGGTGACAGAAGACTGGAGGGAGAGTGAGGGGGAGATGTGTCTGTGACGGTGGTAAACCAAGTGCCAGATCTGGCCAAGGTCATAAGTGTTAGTTAAGAGCTGACAAACTCATAGCTGGAAACCAGATCAGCTCATCTTACGTTCATTTTGTTAAAATAGGTTGCAGCCTTATAAGAATGTATTGAGTGTTTAGACTCTACGGAAAGCTTGTAAATTGCTGCATGCATTAATCATACTTGTAATATGCATCCGATGAAGTGAGCTGTAGCTCATGAAAGCTTATGCTCAAATAAATTGGTTAGTCTCTAAGATGCCACAAGTACTCCTTTTCTTTTTGCGAATACAGACTAACACGGCTGCTACTCTGAAACTTGTAATATCAGTATTCCATGCTATCAGAAAATATGTCTGTTTCACTTTATAACTTTGAAAATGTTTGCTCTGAACTTGTGAACCCAGGCACAGAAATCCTCAAGATTAAACCGGCCATTAATGAATATCACAATACAAAGGATTGGTAAATGGCCCTATCACACCTTGGAAATGCCATGTGCAAGGGAGCTCGTCTCATGGACTATAAGGCGAAATGTAAAATATAAAACAGGGTCACAAGAAAATTGTTCCTTCTTTGCTGTTTGAACTTTCACAGGGCCAAAGATACTAAACTAAGGCAGAGATCCCCAGGGGTTACCCCTGGGTCTACCCTGAAAGACACATTGAATTGACAGATTACTACATCTCTGTCATCTTTAGGAACCATAGATAGTAACACATTTGCGTGTATGTTTGCTTACTTTAACCTGTAAATAATTCTCTCATTTCTTTTTCCTAGTTAATAAAACTTCAGATAATTTATTACAGGATTAGCTACAGGCATTGTCTTTGACGTGAGATCTAAGATGCAAATTGATCTGGGATAAGAGACTGGTCTCTTGGGACTGGGAGCAAACTGAACATTCTGTGAGTTTTGGTGTAAGTGACCATTTATCACCAAATCCGGATTTCCTGGGTGGCAAAATAGACTGGACAGTCTAAGGGGACTGTCTGTGACTCCTTGGTAAGACTGTTACAGTGATCCAGGAGTTCACGTTTGTTACTAGGTCAGTAAAATCTAATTATAGAACATACCACCAATTTGGGATGTCTGCCCTGAGGTAGGCACTCACAGTCGTGAGCCACTCCAGACAGCGTGACAGTGAAACATTCCTGCTTCCTGGAGTCAGAGAGTAAACTGGCCCTAGCATTGTGAACTCCCTTGAATTCAGAAGCAGAGAACAATGGCTGGGATTTTAGGGGGGAAGGGAAATTTTGGCATCTTTAAATGGGAGAAGAAAGGCTTAGAGAATGGGCCTTTCCAAAAGCTCAGACAGGAAGTCATGTGAAGTGCCATACACGCCCAAAGCCTAGCAGTTTGCTCCCCCTATAGTTTGAACCTGACTTTGAAGACCAGCGAATCCTTTGTTGGAGGAAAGGGACTTTCTAGTGCTCCCACCTGTCCTTGCTTGTAGGTGTTCTGGGTTACTGGAAATCCCCTTCTTCACATAACGAAGTGTGATCTGATACTTTGTGCTAGGATGAAGGCCCGGGATCTCATAGCTGAGCTGTCCTTTGGGCACTCTGACTTGTACTGCGGAGGCCTCATGCCCTATCGGATAATAGCTGAGGAGGTAATAATCCACGTCGAGCACCTGATCCCAGCTGAAGGTCAAAGAATCTTCTGTGGTCGACAGCAGCTGCACATTCTGAGGAGCAATGACTACAGGAAAAAAAGGAGAAGAAATTATAAGACTGATATCTCATCTTGGGGCATGGTCCAAAGTCCACTGAAGTCCATGAGAGTTTTTCCATTGACTTCAATGGGGTTTGGATCAGGCCCATATTTTGCATTGGTACAATGAATGAACAGCTGGTGAACAGGACTACAAAGACAGCGCTGGAGGATGAAGTCCTCTGCTTATCCACAAAGAGGTATAGTTGCAGTGGACAATGGGAATTGAGAACACTCAACGTTGCAATAAATGGGATATACTTAGCACCATGGACATGTCAAGCATCAAAAGAATGCCAAGAAACAACTTCCTTAACACTCTCAGTGTCACCCATGGTACCAAGTGTGCCTAGGTGCCACAAGTATCTAGTACAAGTGCCTAGGTACCTAGGTGCCACAAGTTCTCCTTTTCTTTTTGCGAATACAGACTAACACAGCTGCTACTCTGAAACCTGTCAAGGAAAGAGGCTCCTCCTTGCTTGGCTGGATGAGTGCAGTTACCATTATATCATTCTTGTTCTGTGGCATTAAATAATTCTGTACTGACGTTACAAGATCCAGAATAAGTGCAGGACCCTCTAATTGCCTAGTCAAAGAGGCTTGTCAGACTATAGACCCAGGAAGATAAAGACTGTCCTGGAGATCTGGGGGCAGGAACAGAACTCTAGGAAGGGCAGCACATCTCAATGTTCTACACTGGAGATAGCTGGTAGCAGGTTATCCTCTAAAGCCAGTGCTCTGGTGTTGTAATTCGTGGCCTATATTTTCATTGGCACCCAAAGCAGTAACTCTGTAATAGTACTGCAAAGTTCAACTACAGCTGGGGAATGACTTCATCACAGAATTTGAGTGGCAGCAAAAACGGGCCTTAACGCTTCTCACAACATTCGGTCCTGAACCTCAGAAAGACTACCGAGCTATCACAGCAGCTATACAACAGAACTCTCCTCACTCTACAATTGCTCAGACACTTACAAATGCCGAAACTGCAGTTCTGAAGGTAAGCCAGGCACTTTCAATGCACTGACTTTCACTGCTACTGCTGGAAGGAGGCCAAACACAGGGATGAGTTACAGCTGTCAGTCACACAGTGAAAGACAGTCACAGGCGGCTACTGCAGGAACTAACTGCTTACTGGAAAAGTGATTTCAAGGTTGTAGAGAGAAGTTCAGATGCGAGGGAGCATGAAAGAGAAAGTCCACGTATGAGAGAGAAAGAACAAGTGCACCAGACTACACGTATATATATAAATATATAAATGAGTATGTTGGAATGCATGTATGTGTAATATGCATGAAAGAAATAAAAATCCAGAATCTCTAGTTTGGTTGTTTCATGGAGTCAATATTTTTGGGCCTCCTGCTCCCCTTCCATCAATAACAATTCTCTATCCATTGGGCACAGACCCTGTGCCTTCAGTTTCTGCAGAAATCCTGCTCAATATTTGATGAACCTCCGATCAAAGAGAACCTTCTCAGTAACAGTTTGAGTTTGAGTTCTATCACATCTTGAGCTGAGTAAATCCCACACTTGCTCTTTGACAGTCAGTTTACACGATAAGGACACCCAATCCCACTAAATTTACAGAAAGTGATAAGTGATAGCAAATAATGGTGACAGATGCTCAACAGGCTCCAGCCTTAATTAACTCAAGTTTTGCACAGTATATTTTTATACCTTTCTGAAGGATTCAAAAAACTAACCATTCTCATGCTTTTCAGATAGTAAATTTATATAGACTCTTCTTTATAACTGTACATTCTATTTTACACAGTAGATATTAAGGGGATACTATCAGTTCCTTTCCAAGGAACGAGGAAGAAACCACCAGTTCAGATAAAATAAGGCTGGCATAAACTTTTCAGAAGAGCTTATGCTACTGAGGAGCCTAAGTTCCACTTTTAAGAATGACTTAGGCACTAAGTCAATTCAATAAGACTTAGGCTCCTAAGTCACGTAGGCACTTTTGTCAATTTTACCCCAAACCTTTTTGAACCTTTCCCAAAACTTGAATCAAACACCCAATGATTTTTCTACTATCAAAAAAGCTGGATTAACTTTTTAATATATGTAGGGCTTTTTATTTTTACATTTCACGTCTTGGAACTCCCTGATTTTGTCCAGGAGTAAAAGCAGAAATACCTCCAGGGTATTTATTGGTGCTATTCCATATCACAGCAAAAAACCAGGAAATAGTGAACATCTGCTCAGATTTCCATAACACATAAGCTCAGATAAGCAACAGCTGAACTTTCAGCGACCAAACTGAACTTCTGCATCTGCTGCGGTTGGCCCATCACAAAACAAGATTGTCTCAGTTCCTATTCCTCTGCTGGGAAACAAGTGTTACAGTTTATTCCAATGGATTTGTGTGCTGGTTTTAAGGGTTTATTTTATTGTACTAAACCAACCTTTAGATCTTCACTGTTAAAGTTACTTTATTGTTAGTTTAAGATGCGTTACAGTCAGTCTGGTCTACATTGACCAAGCAAAAATTTGTTAAACACAGTTTAGACTAACCAGAGCTGTGGTTCCCAATCATATGATCTTCTTGCCTCTCTCTCCCCGCCAAGTAGCTTATTGCTAACTGCCATAAATACTGCTTGCTGCATCTAATACAGTATTTTCCTGGCTTCTTCCCACTATCTTCTTAAGCTCACATTGGCACCAAAAAAAAAAAAAAAATGGTGTTACTTGATACACTTCTTATAGTGCCGTAATAATGTGTACAACTAGTTGATTCAATTGCTTATTATTTGGGGTTCAGGCCCTCTGGGGTATCTGGACCCTGATTGTCACACTACGGAAGTCAGTTTACATCTTCAGGAATGAAGAAGTCACGTGCACTAATTTCAGGGATTATTTGGGCCTTTGAAATAATTCAGGGATAAGGAGATAGTTTTCTTTCCTTCTGCAAAATCATCAGAACTCGCAGAAAGCTGGTGATATACTGGTCATTAATATCATTGTGTGATGTATGTATGGGTTGTGCATAAAGAATTACATGTGTGTGCTGGAAATATGTTCTTAAAATGTGTTTCAGAAGCAATGCATAAATCCAGCCTGCCCTAGACAAAGAAATGTGGATTTTCCTGGCTGACTGGCTTGATTACTGGCAGAGGAGCCATCACTTAAGGAACAAAGAACAGAAACCTCGGTGTCTGTAAAAAATGGATCCTCCTGGCTTGAAGGGCAGGAGCTGCTGGTAACTCAGAAGTGAGAAACCTATTTAGGCAAAGACTATAACTTGCTAGAATTAAGTTTAGTCACTAGAAAGCATGTATGGTTTGGTTTGTCACCAGACCTGTCTCTTTTTCTCTTGCTTAGTATCACTTAAACCTCTGTCCTTTTTATTAGTAAACTTACCCTTATTTTATTACAAAACCATCTCAGTGCTTCTATATTGAATTAAGTGTGAGTCCTCAATTAAACAGGCTGGTGTGTGCTTTGTCTCTTTGGAGGCAGCAAACTTAATAATTTTTGTGAGTGCTCAGTGAGAGGGACTGGACACTGCAGAGATGTCTCTGGGGAATTCAGGAAATGAGGTTCACTGATTGTTACCTGCAAGGCAAGGTTAAGATTAGCAGAGTGTCAGGGAGTTTGCTGGTGAAACAGACAGGCAGACATGGCAGGGAGCTGATACACAGTCTAAGTTCCAGCAAAGCTCTCTCTTACTGAGGCAGAGAAGTAACACAGTGGTTTACGGCTGTGCGTGCCCTGAGGAGAGCACCACAGTAGTGAAGAAAACTAAAGAAAGTTTGATCCCTGCAGAAAACAGATATTGACAAATCCAGTGTACACCCTAGCCCTTCTGATGGGAATAACATCTTACCCATTTGGTCAAAAGATACATTGCTTCAGCAATCATGAAGCCACTAAACATGATGGTAGTGTAATTTGTCCTACTGGGAAAGGCTCTCTCTTGAAACTAATTGGGCTTTTTTCCCAGCAATCTCTCCTCACTTCATCCACAGCTCTAGCCAAAGTCCATCCTTAGAGGTGCGTACACAGTTCCCATTGCCTTTAGTTGAAGCTATGTAACGCAAGGGCAGAATATGGCCCTTCATTGCCTTGGAACATACATGGGATTTGGGTTTACTTGTGGTAAAATAACCCCAAACACACAGGACAGATCTTGTTCTGTATGTAAGTGCAGTTTGGATGGAGCAGGCACTATCTGCACCCTTTAAAGTGAAGGGCCCAGCACAGAAAAACAAAGTTGTCTATTAGCCAATTGCATGGAATAGTGACCCAGGTGACTGCAATATCAACAAGCTGTCACTATTTCTTCTTCCTGGCTTTTCAGTTCTACATCATCAGCGGCATGTTTTGATGATGTGTTGACACAGAGGTCACCTGCCATCTCATCCAGAAACAATACAAATTCTGAGATCAGCTAGAGCCATTCACCCAGGCAGATGTGACAAACCAAAGCCCTTCTGGGGCCTGATCAATAAATTGCAGTCATTTGTCCAGGGAAATGGCATGATGAAAACAAAGGTAAACAAATGCTACATTTTGGACACATAGAAACCACTGAAAATCCTCCTTCTTTCCTCCTCTTTGGTAACGAACAAACTTGCACTGTATGGAGTGAAAGGATTCTTTGCATAAACAATACTAATTGCTGAGGGAAGTATGAGGACAGATGGGGTTTGGATGATTAGATGCCAAGAGTCCATCTTGTGTTCTAATTACTATTATAAATCTTTCTCCATTAGCCAGTTGCTTCTCAGGAAATAGATTAAAGCCCTATGGCCTAAGCAAGCGGGAAACCAGGAACATGTTTCTAAATTCACTGCTGGGTTGAAAGCTCACATATCTGCCTGTTAGGAATCCTGGCCCCATTGGAGAGTCTCAGCTTCTCATACTTTAAAACCCCCTCCACTTTCCACCATTCCTATTGCTTCTGCTCCAACACAATGATTTTCAAGCAAAGGCAATAACTTGATAGAAAAATTTGGTTTTAATCAGGTGCCACGTTTATTTAAGGTATCCCAAAGTGCTCTATAGAGTGATGAGGTGATGTTAAAAAAGAACACAAGTCAGTATAAAGAAAAGGAGTTCTTGTGGCACCTTAGAGACTAACCAATTTATTTGAGCATGAGCTTTCGTGAGCTACAGCTCACTTCAGATGAAGTGAGCTGTAGCTCACGAAAGCTCATGCTCAAATAAATTGGTTAGTCTCTAAGGTGCCACAAGAACTCCTTTTCTTTTTGCGAATACAGACTAACATGGCTGTTCCTCTGAAACAAGTCAGTATCTGAGGTTTAATATCTAGTTCCCTCCATAGCTCCTTATGGATCATAAATGAATTGTAAAAATTAATGAGTGCAAATAATTCTGCACTTTAGGGAGTAGATACGTGCTAGTTGCTCAGATATGCCAGTAATAATGACAACAAATTATTAAATGTGTCTTGTTGTATGCAAAGAGATGTAAACATCAGTGAAACTGTACCACCGCAGCAGTCGGTAGTAATCCTTCAGGATCCAGAAGTCTCTTTCTCAGAACATGAAAGCCAGTTTAATGACATTGGAAGAGGAGAGCTTGGCGGATGCTGCAGAAATATAAACTGTTTCACACAGGATTTAGGAAAAGTAGATCAGCAAGGTCACAAAAAGGAAAAAAAGTCGTAAGTTACAATACAAAATGAATTCTATAATGTGTATTAATTTTATAACTTGTCCACCCTACTACTGGAGCAACAGCAGCAAGAACAGCGCGGGGAGGAAGAAGCTAGGTTGCACTCAGACCCTTCTCTTCGGGAGGCAGGGCCAGAACCCCCTTGGGAGACCAGAGACAATTCTGGCTGCCACCCTCACAGACCTGGCTGCCCCTCTGACAGCATGCACTCCTTGCTCATTTCTGTGGACAGAACAGAATGATCATAGACAGAGAGGCAAACAGAAAACCTGGAAAGAAAGACTGGGGGTTGACTCGGGTGAGGTGTGGGTTAAGAGCTTTGGTATAGGGGGAGAATTTTGTCTCTAGCACTTTTTCTAAACAAGGTGAACCAGTGAGCAAATGTAGGTTTTGAGGAGCAAGTTCAGAGCTTTAATGCTGATTCAGAGCACAGGGGATCTTGATTTATAAGGTATTTCACTTACAATAATCTGCCTGTACTCAATTCACCTGCCTCAGAAGGTTGAAGGGCTGAGTTGACATGGCTGGGATATGAACTTGCAGTTATAGGGATTTAAAAGACATTTCAAACTGGATGACTAGACCATTGAGCCATTTTTATGGGCATTAAGGCTTTTCAAGGATGGGAAGTAGTAATGGTAGCAAGCCCTCAGACTGGCAGCTGGGGTTGAGTTGGTTGTCCAGAACAGGATCCACTCACTATTTGACTAGGGCTCCTAGGGCACTTTTTATGCTAAAAGACCTTGAATGAGACTGAGGCTGAGATTTCAGAGGAGACCTATTGGAATGAGGTGCCCAACTCCTCCTGAAAGTCAATAGGATTGGGGCACATAACTCCCTTAGGCCCCTTTGAAAATCTCAGACTATAGATTCAACTTAATAGATACATGTGGAGAAACAACAGCAACATAAAACCTTCCCTAGTAGACACCCTCCAGCAAAGGCAGACCAGCACAAGGAAGGGGATTATGATCATGGTTTTCAGCTTTGTCATTCTGTGTAAAAGCAGACAAATGCAGGCTAAGGTTAATGACCCAAAGAGCAAGGCCATGCACTGAGTCTTAAGTACAGCTACACAAGGGCTTCAGCAGAAATCCTGCAGCAAGTAGCCTCACTGATAGTGTCTTTAAACTAAGGAGGTTCTGCTTCTGGCCCAGTCCAGTTGGAATCTCTGGAGAGAGAGCAGGGTCAGCTCACTCAGGTCTAATCAGTCAGCCCCCACTGCCTTGTGCAGATACAGGACAAGAAATAGCTTCTCAAAGGGGAGTTTCCAACAGCAGCAGTGGGAGCAAACAACCTAGCTAGATTTAAGATGGAGCTTGATCAGTTTATGAACAAGATTATATGATGACATTGCCTGAGACAGCAGGAGACTGGACTTTATGACCTACAAGGTGCCTTCTAATCCTAAATTCCCAACTGCCTCAGCCCAGAGTAGATTATTGAAGGTTTTCATGTACCATAGGTCACAGCTTGTACTGAATCCTCTGGCTTACTTACAACAACTGCAGACTGCAGCAGGCAGGCAGACCTGGCTGACTCCCTTGCCTTTATTCCCAGGACCGATCTATGGGCTTGGTTAGCATCCCTCTTTGGCTATAGGCCTCCATATCCAGCCTTTGGCTATGGGGGTGGGGATAGCATCCTCTCCAGCTAATGGATGTTGGGTGGGGTTAGCTGCAGAAGGAACCAAACATATGCCACAGTGGGCAGGAAGGAAGGGGGATATAGGGGACACTTCGGGATAAAAGACAGAGGGAAGGAATAAAAGGAAGGTGATTCTTACCCTGGGAGCAGTCAAGCCCAATGAAACCATCGTGGCAGTAGCACTCGCCGCTGTCACAGAAACCGTTGCCGCTGCAGTCATTGGGGCATCTCTTCTCGCTGCAGTCATCTCGAATGAACTTCTCATAGCATTGGCACACACCATTGTTGCAGATCCCATTGCCACTGCAGTTCATAGGGCACAGCCGCTGACTGCAGTCTTCACCAACGTAGGGTTTGCTGCAGATGCATTTGCCATCAACACAGCGTCCATTGCCATTGCAATTGTTGGGGCAGCTGGGGCGGGAGCAATCGCTGCCCTCCCAGCCTTCATCACAGTCACATCCACAGATCTCTTGGATGAAAGTTCCATGGCCACTGCAATTCGAGACACCTGACCAGTTAGGGACCCAGAGCCGACATCAGCAGGTAGCATGCAGGAGAGAAAGAGGCAGACAAAACAGCATTAGAAATAGAGCCGTAGACCGATATAGAGAAGGTCTATTCAAAACCACTGGTAGGAAAGAGAAACTAAATGGACTGATTATAACTGCACCCACTAGGGTTATATGAGACCATCACCTGGGCATTCTTCTTTGTTTTAGACAGTTACCTACCAAAGAAAAACAAACAAATTCAACATTTTCCTTTAAGATGAAAAATCCTGGGACTGGAAACAAAACAAAAAACCTAGGAATGCTACAATCACGCCTCCTGCTGTTGTGGAATTCCAGAATGTCCCCTCTCACAAACTCAAGAACTCCATGCCCTGACTTCTCAGACACTCCAGAATTCCTCTCAAAGCTGAAAGACACATGTTAGCACATTTTGGGAACTTCAGCTTTCCCCGCCAAGCCCAGGAACCTGACCCCTACCCCACCTTGGAGATTCCAGAGTTTGACTTCCTCAAGATCAGGAAATCAAGTTATCTTGGAAATGCAGGAGTCTAATCCAAGCCCAAACTCTTCCAGAAACCCCAGAATTCCACACCCCGCTGCTGAGTCTGAGCTCCTTGCCACTGTGAGGACACTTGAAATCACCCCTACCCCTGCCCATCACCACTGGGGAGCACAGCAAACCAAGCACTCCATCACCTCATAAACAGTAGAATTCCAGCCCAAGCTCTGGAACTTGAGCTCCCCCCAAAGCCCAGTGAAGTCAGTGGGAGTCTTTCCATTGGCTTCAATGGACTTCTGGCGTTCCTGACACAGAGACTTCCAAATTCCCCACCTCAAACTCCGGAAACTAATTGATCCCATTAATCCTGCTTTCCATATGCCTCAGACTTCCATACTCCAATGCAAGAAACCTGGGCTCCAGCCTACCCAGAACTTTTCCAGTAGGGAATAGCACAGCACAGAGAGGGACATACAATTAAAGTTACTGGAGTTAGAGAGAACACACTACAAAAAAATAAATCACAGTATGATGCACACCTTGGACTCCCCCACAGCACCTCTGTACACTGCAGGCCTCCTTGAGCACCATCATTTCTTTCTCCATCTTTTCCATCCTTTCCACCAGATCTTTCATGTGTCCCAAAGCTTCACAGTCACCTCTCGGTGTCTGAACTCGGATGTTGTGCCTGAATATGATATTCTGCTCCTCCTCCTCATCCGCATCCCCAGCAGCAAGCAGCACATGACTGTCGTCTTTGAGCGGCAACGGGTCCTCCTCCACCTTGATCTGGGATGATTTGGGTAGATCAATCTTGTATGAGTGGCTGAAGGAGATTTTCTGACCATTGCTGGTACAGTTGTGAGGTTCATGGGGGAGCTGAACAGCAGCTATTTGGAGAGCAAGGTACAGGAACATCCCCTGAGGGAAAGTAAGCCAACTCCAGACACTCATCTTGTAATTCGTCAGAGGGAAGGATCCTATAAAAACAGTGAAGATGGTTTCAAGGATGAAAAAAAATTCTACCATAAAAGCATCGCAGCAGGCCATGGTCTATCTGGTGCTGTGAGCTCACAAGTTCATCAGTGACAGGTTGGTCAGTATTTGGATAAGACATATACAAAGAATATCTGGGTGATACAGAAAATGGTAATTGTGTTGACTCAGTAGGCACCACTCTTCCTTATAAGTCAGCACTGAATTAGAGTCCTGACCCATCATTAGCAGGCACTGTGCTCTGCAAGATGATATCTTTCAGATGATACTTAAAACCTGATTATTAACTATCCCGTTGCAATTTTAGTTCAAGTAAAAGTGTTGGCCCTACCTGACATTAGGTCTAACAATTCCCCTGCAGTTTAAATGGATATAGTATTTTTCCCTCACTTATTACATTAAGCTGCTGTACACTGTTGCAGTGTGCTGTTAAACATAGTTCACCCCAGAGATTGCTGCATTTCAGTGGTGGATGGAGTAAACGCTATACAGTGAAACATGCTTTAAGGCAGCCACTCAAGGGTGACAAAAATCAGCTCCTTAACAGAGGTGATTTTCCAATAAAGTCTGTAGCAGAATTGTTCTCGGAACATTCAGGATAATATCTTGGGGCAGCCTCTTATGAAAAGAGGTTGGCTAATGCAGATTGTTAGGATATAGATATTCAGGCCTGCCTGTAAAGGCCTATACTTTAAGAATGTAGGTATATGTTTATCATTTAGCTAGTAATAGAGGTATGCAAGAAAGACTCTCTGTAAGGGCCTTCTCTCACTGTGACAGTCTGAGGCCCTGTTCTTAGGCCAATGCCTTTGGCTAAGCAGCAGAGGCAGCCATAAGCTGGGAAGCGTATGGTCACATCCTCACATTCCAAACTAGTCAATATGGGGCTGTTAGGAAGGTGATCCGATCTATCACCTCCAGAGAAAGGGAAGAGCCTAGAAGATGTAAAAGGAAATTTAGGTTGATAGATTTCTGTCTGTTAAGAACTCACTTATCAAAAGACACAGCTGGGAAACCCTTATGTCTTTATAGATGTAGTTGTGAAATCCTCACTTCTGTATTGTTTTGTCATTATAGTTCCCACTTTGCTATTGCTTATTTGCATGGTCTCTGTCTGGTTCTGTGATTGTTTCTGTCTGCTGTACAATTAATTTTGATGGGTGTAAACTAATTAAGGTGGTGGGATATAATTGGTTAGCTAATCATGTTACAATATGTTAGGATTGGTTAGGTAAATTTCAGTAGAATGATTGGTTAAGGTATAGCTAAGAATATTACTATATAAAATTAGGGGCAAACAGGAAGTAAGTTGGGATTCAAAAATAAGGAAAAAGGAACTTGGATTTAAGCTTGCTGGAAGTTCACCCCAATAAACATCAAATTGTTTGCACCTTCGGACTTCGGGTATTGTTGCTCTCTGTTCATGCGAGAAGGACCAGGGAAGTGGGAGAGTGAAGGAATAAGCTCTCTAACACAGATGGTGTCTTGCATAGGTTTCACTGCATATAGTTTACATAGCTGTTTGTTAATTGGAAAATATCACAGGATCCTTTGGAAGGAACTGCACTGTACAAATGTACAATATTTTTATTTATCGTACAGTGAATTTAGTGCTGGTGTAAGGTACCAGGCTCACAATCAGGGAGGCTGAATAGTTCTCTCCATACAACAAGTTCAGTGCAGACAATGATAGGGCAAGACTTTCACATACTGCTCTGTCTGTGTTCCTGCACCCTGACCTGGAAGTCCCTCTTCTAAGAGAGAGGAAGCACAGCTTCCATGCTGGGCATGCAGGCAAGGGCACTAACTGTGATGAGGACACTTGTACATTATCAGCTGGATTGAGACATCAGCTCATTTCATATGGGTCACTGAATAACAATGAACTGGTTATCATCAGCCTGGGTGATGTTTGAACCAATATCTAAAGGTTCAAGGCCCTGTATTACCAATTCCTTCGTCATCCAGTCTACCACTCCAAAGACTCCTTTCCAGTCTAAATCATGTTACTGGCCCCTGTGAAATAAAGACTGGGACTCAATTTGTGCATGCCGTTGGAAAATTAATTCTGCTTCTTCTAAGGTGTTACACATTTTGACCCTTGCATTGTCCTGAACCTGGGGAAGTCAAGGTGTTACCCCACATTCTATTTTAAACTACTGTATGATGACATGGTGCCATCCTGAGTTTTGAGGTCTCTCTAGGGATTTGAAGCACTTGGTTTAACTGGATGTCAGATTTGCTTTATAGTCACTGCAAAGGTAATCGAGGAGCCACACCAGATAACCTCATTGTTAGTTTGAGTGACAACAGGTCTGACAAACTAACTGATGCCAATGGGAAAGATAATTTCTGGCAGTTTTAATCATGGTGGCACTTGTAGTTAAGAGCGAAGATTGTTACACACACAGACACACACACACACAGCAGGGGAAAACCTACTTTTCATGTCCCAAATTCTGTCTTGGAAAATGGAGGAGATCTCCCCATGACATTACAGATCCTCACTTTGACTAGCCAGAGCCTGAAATCATGGCATATGGAGCTGTCCTTTAGAGCCTCCTTGGCAAGGTTCAGGAAGAGTACTCTACTTATTCAGAAACTTGAGGCTCTGGCTCCTAAAAAAAACCAAACCCCAAAACAATAACAAATGTATGTAGGGCCAAATGCTCAATACCTTACTCAGCACATGCTCAGGCAGAACACTCACTGAAGTTAACAGGAGTTTTGCCAGGGGAAAGAGTGAGTGAAATAGCATAAGGACTTCAGGATTCAGTCCATGAGCCTTTATTATGTATAAAGAAAATTTTAAAAATGAGAAACAATCTGTAGCTTTTTCCTTCCAGCATTTGTCAAACTATATCTAACCTATTTTTCGTCTCTCAGCACATTATTCTGCTGATGCAGGACTTCTTCATCCTTGTTCTGAGGTTTTGCAACCACCTGTTAGCCAAGGAAGATGAGGCTTTTAATCCTCTCTCCGTCCCCCATCATCTGCTATTCCATTTACAAACTATTTCCAAACCTCCCCTTTCTTAGGCAAAGAGCCACAGAAATTAACTACCTTCAGCTCTCTTTAGCCCTCTGAAACATATCAAGTAATAAGGGCTGTCCTCATCTCAAGGCTTTGAGCCAACATAGTACTTGAGATCCACAGATTTTCACAATAGACCACAGACAGGGTGTCCAGAACCTTGTTTTACAGGGTTTATTTTCAAAGCCCTGGAAATGAAAAACCCACACACGCATACACACATGAAAAGCCCTTTTCTCATCTCTGGGTATTGCATGCCATTCTGTGTTGTAACATGATGTCTCTACTAATTAGACTCTCTTGAGCACCGCAAATTGATCTCAGATTTTCCTGGGCAAGCAGATCACTCAAGAGAAAAAGTCCTGAACATAGCACTTCTGTCAAGTATAATGAAAGAGGATACCAGTACTTCTGGCTTCAACATCATGTAATAAAAGAGATTTTCCCCTGCTGTTTAAGAAAAAGAGGATGGATGTAACCAATCTTTCATTGAGAACATTATGGTCATATGTATAAGATCATGTAACTGGAAGTAATAGGGTGAAACTGAGTAAAGGAAAGGTTTAGATTGAATACCAGGAATTTTTTTTCCTAACAGTCAGATCTATTAGACTATGGAATAGTCTAAGGAAAGTGGTGGAAGATACATTGCTTGTGACACTTAAACCTCAACTTAGTAAAACACTAGATAATAAGACACTGTAGAGAACTGGCAGGATTCTCATGGGAAGGATAAGATGATCTAATCCTATAGGTCTTTTCCATTCCTAATGTCTATGCCTATGTATTTTAGTGTACTGAATTTTGCAATTTGCTGTTCTGGACAACAGTATTTCTTCAAGTTAACTGGCCGTTGTATATATTACTTGTAGTGCAGTGTCACTTTATCACCCCAGCTCCTTTGTGCTAGGCACTGTACAAGCATAAAACAAAATAGGTCCTTGCCCCACAGAATTTACTATCTATGCAAACATTTAAAAGGTAACATAGTTTTAATATCTTCTATGAGTGCTTTCATAGGATTTAAACCCACAACCTCTTATGCAAGGCTGATGTACCTAAACCACAAAGCCACTTGATAGGCTGTTAATAAGGTAGCTGTACTTTCCTAACCATTTTAGATTGTAAGCTCTTCAGGGAAGGGACTAGAATTTACAATATGTTTGTACAGTGCCTATCACAATGGAACCCAAATAGCTTCAGGTCTGTAGGAGCTAGCACAATACAAACATTAGATAAAAGTCACTGATCCAACTGGATGGTTCCTAGCATGGACTCAAATGTCTGCATCTTCTCTGAAGGTAGCAACCTCCTCGAACTAGAACATTTTTGGTTTTTAATTAATTAGTTAATTTAAAAAAATAATAATTTGACAACTTTCAGTGCCCTGAGAGCAAGAGTTTACTAATTGAACCAGATATAGTGTCAGTAGATGCTGGACAAACTGCCTCCCCACCTCCCATCATGCTCTGCCAACCCCAATGAAATGAAAGAATAATTTAAGTCTCATTTAACCAGTTCTTAAACCATACCCATAAGGATCAGTACTCCTGGGTTCTATTCTTATTTCTGTCACTGACTTGCTTTGTGACCTGGAAGGAAATGACATAACTTGTCTTGGAATAGTGCCTGACATACTAATTGTACCCCAAAACACTCCATAAATTAAATGCTAGATTTACAAAGTTAAAAAAAATAATTGCGGTGGAAGAGAGACATTTTCAGATGAAAATAGATACACAGTCAGGTAAGTGGAGAGATGCACGAAGGTTATTCCAGATGGCAGGAGATGCAAAGGAGAAGAGTCTTGGACCAATAATGGTGAGATTGTAATATGAGGCAGGGAGGATGCTGATACTAGGCAAGTGGGATGAACAGAAAGGGGAAGGGAGAGACCAAGAGCCAGTTGCTTGGCTGGTGTAAATCGTCATGGCCTGATTA